TGTAGGGGTTTGCCCGGAGACTTCGGTACGTTTGTTACCTGCCCGTACACATTATTTGGTGCCCAAAGGGGAATGGTTGTGACTTACGGTCTATCTCGGGCGTTCTGCTGCTTTTTGCAGCCTCCTAGTCAAGATGCAGTCCTGGAAAATACTCCGAAATTGTAGAAGAATGACATGCTAATGATGAGATTCTACGACTTACGAAAAACACGGCACAAAAGACTTAACAAGGGCGCTAGGTTAAGAAATTGTTGGCCAACTGGTCGCTACAGCCTGGTGGCAACAATTCTGTAACTTCGGAGCCAGTCACTCCTGACAGTTACTTGTATTGGTACCCAATCTAGCTGGGCAATGGCAAGTTCCTCTACTCAAGTCTCAGGAAAATATCACGAATCTAGCCTACCTACCTAGGTCACCTAGTAAACAATCGTCTCGAACCGCGTCGCATTCCTTCCAGCCCCAATACCCACGACATGAAATACGTACAGAAGAACCTCAAGCCCAACACGAGAGAAATAACGAAGAAACAAAAGAGTCCACGATATATTCCTCCCTATTATAGAAATGTTACTATGAGTTGTATAGTACAGACGATTCGATGAGATATATGGATAAATGATATAGACCCAACCATCCACCAGTTCGGAAAAGAACTTCCCATCTCATTGGATGTCAACTGGACGACATCTCGAGAACTTTACACAATCTTGATGGCATTAGAAATATTAAGCACTTCCAAATTCTTAGAGAAATAGTACGCGTACTGAAGAATGACCGTATTTGACACTCTTTGATAAACATAAACGACATTAACAAGCCGTACCCATTCCCGTGTTGTCGTTAAATTATGCCTATGGCTCTAGATTTCTGTATTTGTGTCTTTGTCTCGCCAGTCATAAACAGTACTATCCAAGACTAAAAATTTGCACAAGAACCGCATTCTTGTTGAATACACCTGCAACTTGTGACTACCTACTTTGGTACTGCTTCACATAGTATCAATGTTCACTCCTACAAATTAGTTTTTTGGCCGATAACCCTATTCACTAATATACTTGGGTATTAAGCGAATTTGTCTACCTACGGAATAGCCGTAGAAGACTCAGGGGTAGTATAGTATTGCGAAGACAATAGTGATGTGTTCACAAGAGGTTCGGTTAGGCTAGTCTTTGATAAGTTGCCTATTTTTCTACGGAATCTGACCCTCGAAGGAAAATAGAATTAATCGTTTGATACCTACTAAATACAACACCAACTACTAAGTATTACTTGTGGTTTCAGAGCTCATCTCCCCAGACTGGATCAGAGCTATCATGAAGTCTAAGGAGCAGCTAGCTAAAGAATGTATCGCTCTTACGCTGGTGTTTCTCCCAGCTTGTATTGTGTAAGAATATACCTCATTTCTAGAATCTCCTATATTAGGCCAAACTCCCAACCACAAGTGCCAGCTTGCCAAATCGTTTGTCAGAGAAACCTCCAGTTTGAATTTATTATATAGCTATAGAGAGAAGTTCCCAAAGCCTAATTCGGAACAAAAATGCCTCGTAGTATACAAATAGTATCAGGTTCTGTACAGGTTGGGCACTCGTCTCACATGGTAGTTATTGCCAAACTGAGAACCTTCGGCCCCTATTGCACGGCCCTCTCTTCAGGTCGCCTCTATTCCTATTACCTATCACCAAAACCTACTTAGACTAATGCTATTCTCGCCGTAGTCATTTCTAGTTCCTATAATGCAACCATAGGCAAATTATCCCGGAAACTACAGGAACCCTATGATTAAGGTGCTCTAAGCTCGCGCTAGGATTCATCATCTGCTTAAGTGCTCATATAAAGAAGCATTTCATTGTCTATTTTTAATCTTTCTTACTTTAAAAAGCCTTGCCTAAAGGCGAGGCTATGGTGGCTATGTAGAAGCCTCGCTGGTGAAACCGTGGTGTATTAAAGCGTTCCATACTGCTTATCAGGGGTAATATCTTCCAGCATCTTAGTTATCTCATACTGATGCCTGAGGGTGTCTAGCACATCTCAATAGTGAATTTTGTATCCAGGAGCTTCACTCCCTATTAGGAGTCCTGTCAATCCCAGCCTAAAGTCCAGCCTTGCCTCTACATGTTATAACCCCTTGTCAGTTATATCATGTTGCAGCTATTGCTGCAACCAAGAAGAAGAGGAAAGGAAGAAAGCTTGCTTTATTCCTAACTACAATGGCGGAGTGCCAACATATGGCCATAAGGGCCATATGGCTCTAGTGGAGCCTAATGGTGCCTGAGGCACCTGCAACATATCATCCATGGTCGACGAGACTTATTTGTTTTGTCAAGCCTCAAGCCCCTTTCCAGCCCCTTAGATTGCTGTACCTGACTAACTTACTTAACTTAGGTATGCACCAAGTAGCCATTGCCCATATTTCCTTCTAACTGCAATTCATCTACTGGCATCATGCATCTGCTGAGAACAAGCAACCTCGAGAATTATCCTAATATAAACGAGTCATAAATCATATTTCTTCATCAAGCCGCGTACGAAGTTTCCCTTGTTCAGGTAATCTCGCTACTATGTATGTTATATTATCTTATCACCGGTTTATTACGTAGAGTATATGAAGGTATGTTTGCCAGATGACTGGCCTCAGGTAATAGGTTAATGGATATGCATCTATTCTTAGCATCTAGCGAAATAACCAAGCCGTTTTTTGATATCCTATGACGCTTATATAATGAAATAATATTGAACACACGCCAGGGACTTGCAATATAATCGAATTGAATAGCCCCTGAACATTTTCCATACGTACTCCCCCCTTTACGGATTATCAATTTCTAAGTAATGCGTGTGGATAGGCATTTATTTTCTAGTCTGGGTTAGTTGGCTAGATGTTGGGGCTATAAGCATAGCAACAAGTGTGTGAATAGCGATGCTATAAAGACAAACCCCTTTTCGAGGCAAGTAAAGATAACAGTTGGCACAATAAAATATCTCGACATCTTATATCCGGTGACATAGGTACCTTTCGTTTTCGGGAAATATCTTATAGTATTTATTTAGGAGAATCTGCTCTACCCAGAAAGTAACCTACTTAAGATAGACAGTGATGTTAGCCTCCTGTGTCTCATGATAATATCATAGTTTATTAGCTATTAGAATATGCTTTCAATATGCAGATATCTCCTTCTCGTGTGACCCAAGAGATGTAAACCAAAGCCTATATTTCTATAGTGGCGATACTTAACTACCTACTGTCAAGCCAGAGATAGTTGTGTAAGTACCTAACTCTTAGTAGTACATTGCAGACCCAGTGGTGATTACTTCCTCGATTTTACAGCTTCCGTCCAGCTTCCAGATTTGCTTTAATTGAGATCTGCTTGACAACTAAATCTCATAGACTCTATATTAGATAGGATAACAGCGCCGTAAGTGATAGATCTCTCACAGTACAATATGGGCCGATCCAGCCGTGTTAGATAACGTGGCCTCGATATTTATGACCCGAAACAGGCCGTGAGTAAACAGTTCACAGCATCAATGGGATGATTTCACAACAAGTAAGAAGATCTAATTCTCTGCTAAACTGCAAACTCCTCGTGGGGGTAGCTTTCTCTGATTTGCCCTTTAATGGTTAATCCCGCTTGATGCGCCAAATAAATTGGCGGGTACTTTGCGTCCTGCAGCTGTAATGCATTGTCTAACTAACAGTTCGTTTGCTAAGGGGCCTAAGTTTTCTCCCCCCGGAATATTGGTTGGCAGATTTTCAGATGAGATCGATCTGCCATGGCTTACTCCATCAACTAACCTCATCAAGCGCCTATTATGAGCTGGACACAGTTACTTTGATGCGTCACGACTACTTAGTGACTTAGGACTTCAAGTCAATGATTTGATCCCTATAAGCGTTTTAAATCTACTTAAGGCGAATTTTTATTCCGGTACTTTGACTCTATAAGAAGAGGGACGAGCACTGTGCTGCTATCGTATTCGGTTCAACTATGATAGGTCTAAAGTCCGGAATTGAAGCGTAATCAACCTGGTACTTACCTGCCCAATAGGCGAAGGGACAAACTTGATTCCAATCATACGTCAGCCAGGGATTGTACCTACATAAAGCGTGGTTTCGAATGGACTTAGGAGAACTAGAAAGGCTTCTCCGTGGAGGAAACACCAAGGTTTGGCTGGCAAGCCATACGGAACGCACAGTTCCTCTTCTCGTTACTGCACGCCACTTTGGCTTGTTTGTGGTGGGGAAAAGGAAAGCATCAAGATTGTCGTCACTAGACGTCTTGGAACATATGGCCAGTTTGACTGGTGTTTTCTGCCATGTTTATTTCCACAAATTATGAAAGCTGGTTGGGTGGTTTGACATCTAGTTGCTTTTTGATTCACAGCCCCTATACCAAAGGGTCCGGGTGGAGACAGCTTTATGACTGAATACGTGCATGAGAGGGCTGAAATAAAAAAAAGATACATGTATACTAGGTATGTAGTATGTCTCTAGTATCAGGTACATGATCAAAAAGACATATACAGGCTCCTTTTTGTACTGACTTGTACTGGTTCACACTGTTTCGTGCGGCATCTTAGAAAATGAGTTATAATTCGTGATATAAAATAAGGGGGATTTCGATATATGCAATATGCATGAATCCGAGTCTCGTACAATGATATCTGCATAAGCTGCATAATATGTTGAAATATGACTAATGCGCCTAATGCAGATAAATAATGCAAATAATACGCGTGGTATAAAGTTGCCTATCACTCTGTTTAAGTCTGTTATCGCTGCTATCGCTGCAGGTACCGACAGTAGTACGCGGGGCTCATTGAAGCTTTCCCATTACGTAGACCTCAGCTCTTCCACTCTTTACATTGCTCCTCCAAAAAGTTACCATCTCTCTTCCGAGCTTTTAACACCAAATAGGTACAACTTACATAGTTCGCCTCGATAACTATATCAAGACGAAATTGCAAGCAAAAAATAAAAAATAAAACATCTGCTCGTCATCATGTCTGGCAATCCATATGAAGGTAAGCAAAAGCCACAAGCCTTACAAGCTAAACCACAACACGCAGCCTCCTATTTTCGACGGCGATCTGACCCCTAGGTACCTACCTTCCCAGTCGAGCACAACATAAAAGCGCCCGCGCACGCGCCGCACCGGCGGCGTCCCGACATGTCGAGCTTCACGTCGCACTTGCACCAGATCTCGCCGGACGCGGATCGGCGCGCGCACGGGCGGTCCCACACGGGGCCGACGCCCGTCGACGCCGCGGCGCTGTTCCGCTTACTGCAGGACCAGTTCGCCGTCCTGCTGACCGACGCGCCGAACGCCGAGAACCAGAGCCTGCTGCAGTCGCTCATGACCACCTTGGAGCAGGACATCGGCTCCCCGCCCGACACCATCCCGGGCGTCAGCCAGGAGTACCTCGACAACCTGGACCGCGTGCCGCGCAAGCAGCTCAAGAAGGACGACAGCTGCCCCATCTGCGCCGAGCCCTTCCTCGACGACCAGTACCCCCTCGTCGTCGAGCTGCCGTGCAACGGCCACCACCATTTCGATCTCGAGTGTGTGGGCCCGTGGCTGCTGAGCAAGGGGAGCTGTCCGATGTGCAGGCATGACTTGACGAAGAAGAAGGTGGTGGAGATTCAGAAGGATGACGAGGAAGATGAGGATGATATGGATGGGCTGTATGGATAGGCGGATAATGTCAAATGTGTTCTACGAAGAGAGACATTGGGACTAGATACGGAGTTGGCGATACCCTTTGAAAAATGAAAAAAAGATTAGGCACAGACTCAGTTCAGAGTGACCCGACTATCATACTGAACGTGGTGATGTAAAGGTCGTCACAATACATTGTTGGATAAAAGGCCATTGGCGTACCTAACTGTAATGCGCCGGATACGAAAGCTACGATACACGATGAAAATGTGCAAAATACTTATACAAATTAATATATACCTAGGTACTCCTCAGCATCTCTTCCAGCTATGCCTTCTTCCCCTTCTTACCCCGCCCACCACCGCCGCTCGCCTTCTTTTGCCCGCCCTGCACCTTAGTGTCATGCGGCGCATCCTCCTCGTGGCCACTGCTGCCGCCCTGGGAGAACCCCTGATCGGCAGGGCTAAAGTCGAGAGGGTTCCCGTTGCTCGCAGCGGCGGAGGCGTCTTTGGAGGTTTGCGGGTCCGTCTTGTCCTTGTTGAAGGAGGCGTCGTGCTTGGTGGCGACCTCGTCGTCCGTGGCGCTCATAGTAGAGTCGTGCGCTTTGGGACTCAGGGACTCGCGGTCCTGGTCGTCTTTGTAGGGTGTACGGGCTGCGGCTGATTGGTGGATCGGCCTCGAGGTGGCGGCTGAGAGGCGGCAGTTGTTGAGGTTGGGTCTGAGAGCTCTGCTCGCTCGTAGAGCTGTGCGTAGGGTTGTGATGCTCGACATTTTGGAAGATGAGTTGTGGCTGGAATTGTGATGTTGTGATGTTCGATGTCTCTATTTTAAATTGGATAATGGCAAGAGCAATTAACTATTTACAAAACCTTCAAGATTAGAGTACATCTACGTATGTAAGTCGAGGTCATGATCAAAGCTATGATTATTATAACGAAGTAATAACGAAGTAATGACGTCACCGAATTGGATAAAGCTTAGGTGGAGTCGATAGACCTAGGGTAGCACACCCCAATAATGAATATCTCCGGTATCTTACCTAAGGCTAGGCAGCTACTTCAACTTACACATCTTCTACTAACTTAAACCTCTTTAACTTTATCGTACTTATTTCTTTCACCTTCATCAGCTAAAAAACCCCTTTAATGCTGCCTTAACCATGGCTGCCATAAAGCCCCCTTTCATTAGTTACTACGTAGCAGTATGTACAATACCTGTCCAGGTATACATATATAGGTACCCAATATGGTATGTTGAAAGACCCCAATTACATGACACTGCCACTCAATTCAGACAACGAAGTTGTACTAGGAATCAAGTATAATCAAGTATACCTAGGTATCTAGATCAACAACGCGGCAGCGACAGCAAGACCAGCCACAATCTTGCCATCCGCAGTAAATATACCTCCAGCCTGTACCGAGACCGATGTAGAGACAGTTGCGCTAGGAGCAGGAGTGATAAACCCTACACTGTTTGAATGCGTACTTGTGGTGGTTGTGGATGATGATGATGTGCTCTGTTTGCTGGTGGTGGTGGTCGACGTACTACTATCTCTGCTAGATGTCGTCGTCGTTGTCTTCGTCAAAGTTCTTGTTGTCGTTCCGCTGGTGGGAGAAGTGAAGGTTTTGGCTGTCGCAGTTGTGAAGCCCGTGAAACTGCTTACACCGCCATCACTGCAATCCTCGCCCAGATCACAGCAGTACCCGTCGCTGGTGCACGTGCCGAAGTCTGGACAATAGTGGAGTCCGTCCTCACAGCACGTTCCGTCAAGGGGCATGCAGAGGTCTCCGCACTCTGTCTCGCCAACTTCACACGTGGCCTCGCCACCAGAGCCGCTGCAGATCTCGCCGTCGGGGCAGCATCCATTAGTGACGCAGTAGTAGCCAGACAGACAATACTCGTCAGTGTTGTCATTGCAGCAGGTACCATCAGAAGGCATGCAACCGTTTTCACACTGGACACGTCCTGCCGAGCAAGTGGCTAGTACGTTTAAGAACTTGGATTGTGCAAGGCTCTTGGGTACGCCAGCCCGCGCTCGGGGTGTTGCTGCCATAGCGACTGGCGCAACGAGAAACATGAGAACATGAGCGAGCATCGTGTCTCTTGCTATTCGAAGAGTCTAGAACCTTGACAGAAGCAGTGTAAGGTGCCTTGGCAGCGTGGACTAGCGGTGTATAGTTGAAGGAGGGTCCCAGAGGTAAGAGATCACTTCGAAGACCTACACCCGCGGCGATCACGCTCCTTTTATCTCAAGTTTTTGGAGCCTCAAGAGGGGCATCATACTTTATCGTATTAATCTTGACTATTCAGCTGAACTGAAAGCCAAGATGTTAGTTCAAATTTATAGATCACCTAGCTGCATTGACAGCATAGGCAATCACGAACCCCTGCCTTGTTGTTACAGTTCCGCTATAGCTCCAGTGTCCCGGTGACTCAGGCATATCTCCTATTAGCTACCTCCGAAAGCCCAGATCGGCTTGGGCGATTTGACATTTGCATGGCCATCCACAAGGCCCAGGCAGTTCTGCAACAGCCCGCCGTAATTTTTTAACTCAGGGCATTTCGGTAGCCTTTCTTGATGGTCACTATTTGGCAGCACTTAGCGGACGCTCTTAGCATATTATGTTAGGCTATTTCGACCTCGGCTTTTGAGTTATTGCCAACCTTTCAAGGTTGTTATCACAGGTGAGGAAAACGGAATTTTAAACTGTGGGAGATTGCTTAGCAACGTAGGTATCTAACGAGCATGGCTCTATTATGAGGGACTAAGTAAGAAGGCAACCATTTCTTCAGAAATCCTAGTCCTAGAGGAGAGAGGAAATTTTCATACTACTCGGGCAAATGTGAGTGTTAGCGTCCAATAGTATTAGCCGCCTACCATCAAGACCCACGAGCTGAAAAGACCCCTGGACGCGTTTTGGCGTAGCTCGACTTCTCCAACGTCTCCTCACCAATACGCATCGCGCGCCGAGATAGTTAGGGCGACTAAGACTCAAGGACTAGGTGTTCTGCCTGACCACAGCCGCATTTTTTGAAATCTAGGTCACTGACTGACTGCCAGTCGAATATCACAAATTCAGTTGGTCACTCGGTAACACGTGGTCTAACATGCTGAGAGTGCATAGGTATCTATGTACCTCTGTTCGCCGTTTTGATGTCTCCCCCTTATTGACAGATAACGGCCATGGTCTTGACTTGAATAGGAAAGTAGTTGTTAGTGATCAACTATCTTGACCGATCCGTTCAAGCAATACACTCGCCTCATGCTAGACATGCATAATGACATTGCAGCTCTTGCTCTCAAGGCTCTATTCAAGACATCCCTCGCGGAAGAGATCGATGTTTACTCAAGGGACTATAAACCTCACAGTCGGCAGTCGGCAATGGATGAATTACTATTATCAAAAAACTCGAACCTAGATGAAAGTGCAAAGTCTAGATAGTTCATTGTCTGATCACTGGGGTCAGCCGTTTCATGTGAAAGGGTTCCATGACTTGTCTCAATGTTGGCTCTTTACTTCCCCCGTTCGTGCCTCTCATATGCCATCAGTTGTAGGGACCGGGAAGACATATTTTCACCGTTATCACGTATCATCAGTCAGGCCGCTGCTGGTTACATGTAGTTGGTGCACCAGCATAGGAGATGGTACGAAAAGGGGAAAGGGACAGCCTTCTCATAATCACAACGGGGCGTAGGTAGATATTGAGCTTTTTGAATAACTGTGTGGTAAACGCTCAACTAACTTAGAATATCCGGACTTAGACATCGCACAGGCATAAACTCTCAAATATTTGGGAACAAACGCTCGTGTTTAGATGAATCTGATGCTCTTCGGAACCTTAATAGAAACAGTTGCGGTGATTAATGACGGGAATCGTAACCTAAACCCTAATAACGAAGGTTGGCCTTTACATACCCAGTATACAAGTAGGTACCTGTTCATTCCTGTCGGTATACATAGAAATAAACGTGAATGCCGCAGCTCACATTGAGCTTATTTCGTCCCGTATCCGAGATGCGGTCCCGAAGCCCCTTTCCCCTTACCACTATGGACAGCACCTCTGGACTTGTATCTGCCGGTTGTCAGTATTGTTTCGACGATTCTTGGTGAGTTTTCTAGTAAATTACACACTTTTTTAAATCTTGTAGTTCAACGCCGCGGACGAGACACGTATAATTTCTGCCAGGCATCGATTTTAGACAAAGGCCAAGATTACAGCCACCGCGATCTGACCAGCCTACCTACCTACCTACAAATCTCAACACCAGATCGACTAAACTAACCAAAAATGTCTCTCTCGGCAGAAGAGACCGCCAGGAACTCGATCGAGATATCCGGCCCCTGGGAGGACAAGGGCCTCTACGACATCGACCTCGTCGCCGCCCCCTCGCACGCATCATCCAAGGCCAACGTCCTCCCCCAGGACGAGGACGGCAACGCGTACCCCTCGGGCCTCCGCCTCTGGCTCATCATCCTCTCGCTGTGCCTGGCCGTGTTCCTCGTGGCCCTCGACCAGACCATCATCGCGCCCGCCTTGGCCAAGATCACGGGCGAGTACGGCAGCGTGCGGGACATCGGCTGGTACGGCAGCGCGTACCTGCTGACGTCGACGGCGCTGCAACCCTTGTACGGGCGCGTGTACCGCACCTTCGACATCAAGTTCGTGTACCTCGGCGCCGTGGCGATCTTCGAGATCGGCAGCCTCGTGTCGGCCGCGGCGCCCGCCTCGTCCGTCTTCATCGTCGGCCGCGCCGTCGCGGGCATGGGCGGCGCGGGCCTCTTCTCCGGCTCCCTCGTCATCCTCTCCTACACCTTGCCCCTGCGAAGGCGACCGTTGATGTTCGGCATGTTCGGCTGCATGTGGGGGGTCGCGTCCGTCGCGGGGCCGTTGCTGGGAGGCGCCTTCACAGACCACCTTACTTGGCGCTGGTGTTTCTATATCAACCTGCCCATCGGCGGCGTCGCCATGGTCGCCATCTTTTTCTTTCTAAATATTACGAGGGTCGACAGGAACCCCAACAAGCTCTCGGCCCTCGAGCGCATCCTCCAGCTCGACCTGGCCGGCGCCGCGGTCCTGGTACCCGCCGTCGTCATGTTGCTCCTTGCGCTGCAGTGGGGCGGCGCGCAGTTCCCGGTACGTGTCGTGATCTAACAGCTTTGCTGGGTGCTTCCGGTTACTTTGTTACCTAGGGATTCCTCAACTAACTCTAACAACTGCCTATAGTGGAGCGATAAACGAATCGTTGGCCTCTTTTCCGGCTCCGGCGCGATGCTCCTGATTTTCGTAGGCATCGAGCACCGTCAGCAGGATAAGGGGTTGCTACCACCGAGATTCTTCAGGGATCGCAACGTTCTGTGCGCTATGCTGGTAAGTTTGTTCTCGTGCTTTTCCTCCCCACCTCTTTCCCTTTCCCCTTTCTGCCTCCTTACTAGTTTTTGTGTGTATTGCCTCTGTAGAGGTTGTAAATAGGTAGCCACAATTCTTACTCAATGTTATCACAGTTCGCTTTCTTCTTCGGCGCGACTTTCTTTCCCCTTATTTACTACCTGTGTAAGTATATCCCCACCTACCCACCTACCCCTTTTCTCCATTCATTCAGGTTTCCATCTAACCCATGCCACACACCCCCTCTAGCCCTTTACTTCCAAGTAATCCAAGACGCCAGCGCCATAGACGCCGGCATGAAGCTTCTACCCCTCCTCATCTCCGTCGTCGTGAGCTCCATCGTCTCGGGGGCCCTGATCACCGCGACCGGGTACTACAACCCGTTCATCCTGACCGAAATCGCCATGGTCGCCGTCGGCGCCGGGTTAATCACAACCCTGGATCTCTCCACGCCCTTCGCGCGCGTCTTCGGCTTCCTCGTCCTCGACGGCCTCGGCACGGGCGTCGGCTTCCAAGCCGGCGTCGTGGTCGTGCAGAACGTCGTCTCGCGGGAGCTCGTGCCGCAGGCCACCTCGTGCGTGCAGTTCTTCCAGTCCCTCGGCGGCGCCCTGTCCATCGCCGTGGCGCAGACCGTTTTCCAGAACGGCCTCATCCGGGGCCTCGCCAGCGCCCAGCCGCCCCTCGACCCGGCCCCCTTTATCCACAGCGGCGCCAGCCAGATCCGGGAGGTGCTCGCCGCCACGCACCCCGGGGAGCCCGCCGCGCTCGAGGCCGCGCTCGCCGCGTACATGGGAGGCCTGCGGCACACGTACTATATCGCTGCTGCCGCCGCCGCCCTTGCCTTCCTCGCCGCTCTGGGCCTGCAGTGGAAGAAGATCGAGAAGGTGTCCGGCGGCCCCGATCCGTTTCAAAGGGCCTGCTACGAGACGATGCGCGCCTGCACCCCCGCGCCCGAATTCGACACCATGTGCGAGGGCGCCGGGGAGCTCCAGGCGGCGAGGAAATTGCAGAAGAAGCCTAGGTCAGGTTAGGTAGGTAGGTTAGCAGTTCTGACCCGATGAGATCTTTAATCATTCATACTGATTACCTGGAGTCGGACATATGGCATATTAACGTGGGGTAGTATACTATGATGGATGAGGTCTGACACCATCCAGGGAAAACTACTCGCACCTACATATTTACCTGCTACCTACATAGTACCTACCTAGGTAGTTAATACTGGGTGATTCATAGCCATCACTGGGGGTTCTAATCTACAATCACACAAGTTTGGCAAAGAGTTGGTGCCAAAATTTTGTTTCAGATCTAAAGCTATTAAACGTGTGATCAATGTTGCCTTTTTCTTCTTCTTTTTCGAAAATCGTGAGATTGATTCCGATTTCAGTACCAAAGCCAAATGTTAATGGATGCCAGTAATGGTGCAGCCCGCCATGGACGCACATATTCTCATAATACGTCAAGTCTTCGTTCTTCCATTAACATAGGCGTCTATGATCCGTCCAAACAAATTATATTCGAGTGCAATTAGGTGCCAGGTCGCCAGGTATCTCCCGTAAGGTCTGTGAGACATACGTGGAACTTGGAAACATTGTAGATAGCCATATGTAATAACATGATGAACAAGAGGCAATGGATTTTTAGATGTAGTACATCGTGTCTGCCAAGTTTGCGTGGATGCGTGGTGATGTGATTGTGTTCGTGTTCTCGGTGTTGGCTTGAGATTGTGTCTCCGAACGGTCAAAATGGTCAGCCAAATAGACTCTTTGCCGAGTACAGACAATGTCGGCGTAATATGCTGGTGGGCATATGCTGACGGCTTTGGTTGCTCGGCCAAAGAGATAACACATTTCATGCGTCAAGGCTTCCAGGCCATTCGCCGCCTCCAATCCAAGAGTCGAGCGGAAAATTTCGTCTAGCAATACTGTATAATGGGCCGGTCGTGCGGTGCCTACGGAAGGAAACAATTAGCATGCAGTTTGATAGGTGGGTGAAATGGGGGCAAACTTACCTTGAAGAGCCTGGTGTGCAGTCAGGAAGAAATCCCAGACTTTTGCTTGAGTGACACCACGGTCCACAACCGTTCCGTTCTTGATGTTTCGAGACTTCTGGGTCATATGGTTCGGATCGGTAGGGTAAAAGCGTGTTTGGTGACGCTTGACCGATACCACTACCGATATCTTCGGCTGTTGCTTAGCCGGATATAGTTTGGTGCAGGCTTCTCGTATCAAAGGAAGCTCTTTATCTAGCACTTGCTCAAACTGACCTTCAGAAACACCATCACGGAAGATGATGATGTTCTGGGGGAACTGAGACTTATTGTGCCTACTCCATAGCCTGAGGCGCTCGGCAAACTTTTCCATCAAGTTTTCGTCCAGCATCTCGAGTTTCCCAGCTTGAGACCAAGCCGAGGCCGGCCATTGGGATAGGTCTTGATCAATGCTGGCCACCATGCCGACTAAACTGGGAAGACCCGCAGCGTTTCCTCCTAGATTAGTTGGGTGCGTGACATCGTATCCGACAACCATAGTCTTGCCATCTTTTATGATGTTAATATCGTTGCCTAGTTTGTGATTTACGCCTCCCATTTTCATGTTGACCTTTAGCCCGACGTTGGCGTAGTATTGTACATTCTTCTTAAGAAGTTGGCTGCGAAGGACACAAACAGTGTGATACCCGAATTCAATATCACCCAAGAGTTTGACAGCGTTATATATCTCGGTGTCGGTTTTCTTACCGGGGAGTATCACGAATACGAGCTGAGGGTTTTCCCTTTGGAGCTCCTTGAACTTGCTCCTCAGGGGATCGATAGGTGCTACTGATTTGTTGAATGCCAGGGTTGCGGCGACGGATCTGATGGGTGCGTCCGCCATAGCAATTCCCATACTGCGCATGAATGCGATCCATTCCCGCATCACTGCCAAATCTTCGTCCGTTTGAGATTTGTCGAAGGCAGAGGTATAAATGTTGATCCATGCCCATTTCATGATCGGACGCCCCGGTTTGACAACCTTCACCTCCCTCATATTCCAACTCCCCTCCGTCACCTGAATATTACGCTTCTTGTTTCTCATGTCCAGATAAGTGACATTGGGTGGTAATAGTTCACGACCCCTCACGGTTAGGAGTTCCTTTCCCGCAGTGACCTTGAATTCAGTCTATTTGCAGCTGGTGATTAGTTAAGGGTTACCATTTTATGACCACGAAAGTAGTGCTTACCAGTTTTTGACTACCGTCGAGGCCTAAAACCTGCCGCCCAATATTGCTTATAGAGGCTGCATTGGCCCATGGTGACCGGCATGCAAACGTAATCATTGCCGCTGTTTCATTAGAATTTGTCTTGCGGAGGAGGGGCTGCCCTGGAATGACCTCAAGTAATTCTGCAGGCTGGTAGTTGGGTCTGCTCCTTGAGCCGATATTCACTACAGGGATTGTTGGGTCGACCCGGTAGTTGTATTCTGCACTAGTTAGCATTTGCGACAATCAGGGGAAGCATCGATACATACTTTTCTGGAAGTAGTCGGCTACTGTGCAGTACGCATCTACTTGTAGCCCAGAAGGAGCAGAACCAGAAAGAAAGAACGCCACTTCGGTAGCTCTAGCACCAGGATGTGGCACCCTTGGTTTGTTGTCGCCAATTCCATCTCCTGGCATGGCAAGACCATGTATCTTCTTTCTCATGAACCTTTCCTTAGTTTGACCACCCTTCGATCCTGGGACTGCCTTTTCGGGTGGGATCCTACACTGACAATACAGTTTATCCAGATGTTTGTTGATGGCGTAAGGTGGTTGTGCCAATCCGAAATTCTTCATCAAATCAGACACCTTTCCGGAAGGACGGAATACCCCGTGGGATACATTGGCATTTAGCAGAAGACGGCCTGTCGCGGGTCGCGCGCTCTGAAAATATCCACGGATAACTCTGTTGTTTTCCTGACCCAACGAGAACATCTCATTTTCCATATTGAGCGGGAAGTACCGGCTTCGGCCAATAGCGGCAAATTTATTGTTTGATCGAGCATAGTAGCCGGTGATGATGCTAATGGCGTCGATAGCCGCCTCAAACTTTGGAAACTTAGTATCACCGGTCGGGTCATTCATTGATTGGATATATGCCCGCAGGGCATCCATGTCAACGTCAGGTGCGGGACTAAATGTGACTTCGTACGTAAAATCTTTGCCCTCCTCATCATACTGAATTTTGATCGTCTTATCATCCGGTAGCCGGAGAGGGGCGGTCGAGATGACTTGACTCTTGAACTCTGTCGCGTAGGGAATTCCTTGGGCGACTTGGTTTAGAGCTAACTTGATGAGTGCCTTCAGGGTTAGTCCCTTAGCTTCAGGGCGCTCGTCACCCTTCTTGCTCTGCTTGGAGCTTTCGCCTTTCTTGCCCTGGCCCTGCCTCTTCGGAGGCCCTGTAGCCTTGATAGCATACTTATATAGCGGAGGGGTCTTCACATCTAGCGTGAAGTAATTGGCCCAAAGTATGACCTCCGTTCCCTTGGTGCCATAAGCAGGGCGACAAGGTAGATGCTCGTTGGTAGATGGCCTGGAGCCTTTGGCCGGCGAGACCTTGAGGGCTGCCATTTTATTCGCCATGCCCAAGTCACTGAGGATCTTGTCCTCTAGCTGGCTGATTGCTTGATCTGGGCGAGGCGCGGCATTTGGTCTATATCACCGTGAGCATTCGGTCTTGAAAAGGTAATGGAACAAACCCGAACTTACTTGAATACTAGATCCTCACCCTGGAACCCGCCCCTCCCGCCCCTCCCGCCCCCGCCGCCACCTCGACCACCTCGACCACCACCGCGGAAGTCTCCGCGAAAGTCTCCTCTACCACCACCACGACCGCCACGATAATCGCCTAGTCCGGAGAATGTGGCACCGCCGCGGCCCCCACCACGGCCCCCACCGCCGCGGTAATCGCCTCGTCCCCCGCCCCCGCGGTATTCACCTCGTCCCCCGCCACCGCGGTCACCACGTCCACGATTGCCTCTGCCGCGGTCTGACATTGTTGGACTTTAAACAGTGATAGAGAAGACGTGTGAAAATTCGATGGAGCTATACTAATTTTTAGTATCATTGCCTAAGAGGAATCAAGACTACTGAGTGCGGGGATGTTGGTAGGTACTTGAACAGGTTGAATAATGCTGTCAATCAGTTCCGGATTAAGGGGAATAGGTATCATGGAAGGTATCAGGCACGGCTAGAATGCTTCTTGTTGCAATGTTCCTAGTCGTCCACGAAATGAGGGTAAGATCTGGATCTCGATAATTCTCTTTGGTACCTAGGTAATACCTAGTGTGATGAAAGAGGCTGAAGAAGTGGTACAAATGGACGGACTGGATATGTTGACTAGGTAGGATATATGTGTAGATCTTTATATGATTTGTACGCGTTGGTACGATGTATGCTTGGGCACCTAGTACTTAGGTGGGCATGAAAAGGCCGAGGAATCAAGTATGTATTCCAGGAGCATGTTGAGACGAGCAGCAATTCGATTGTCAAAGGCATAAGGAAGTTGGGTTCAATGTTTGTTGAAAGTGATTGGTGTTAGGGCGTTAGACATAGGGAATCAAGGTACCTACATACGAGTTGTAGGGGTTTTTGTTCAGGCGATACAACTGATTTTACCTACTGCCTCTTTGAAGTAAAATGAGAGCAAACAGTTCTCTCCTCGCCGCCTCTTTTCAGGTGTTTGTTGTTGCTGTTGTTGCTGCTGCTGTTGTTGTTTTTGGTGTATCTACTTAACTTGGAGTAGGTAGAAGTAGAATACCGCAGTAAGATTCCGAAGAGCCCAAACGGATTGATGAGGGGTGTGTATTGTAATATTAAGATGAAAACGGTGAACGGGACACAATCTTGGTCGTGGTCCTACCTAATGTAGGTAGCCCAACCCAGTCAAGGTCTAACAGACTAGATCCCCTTGATTGAAGGGAGATGTTGAGAGTAGAAAAAGGTGGAGGGAGAGGGAGGGGGGGTAAGGGAGTGAAATATCGGATTGAGTTCAACGTTGAAGAAGATGAAGCAAGATGAAGCAAGGGCACTACAGCGATACCCAAAAGTTAGACCCACATAACGACCTCCAATACCCATGAACTTTAAAGTTTAGGAAGGCCCACATCATTGATGTATGTATTATGATGTATTATAAATACCCTATAACTAACTAACTATGTAGGTTAGAGGTATGTATTGATCAAGACCTATATGTAAAGGAAGGCATTAGGCACATCGAAGTAGATAGTTAAGCCCTTTGCTTCCGATTGCTCTTTTTCCTCTCCAATATTCTTTTTCATTGTTCTTCTATATGTAGGTACTATGTATGTACCATTCTTCTATGTTCCTTTCTCAATCCAGTATATGCACAGTTACATGTGAATATTTTTATTTTACATGTAGGACCATGTTGGCATTAGACAGCTAAACCGTTCGAGGCACATTTTCGCGTTTGAGATCCACTTACTCCACTTACACGGCTCTCAGGTCTGCCTTATATCTGTCGCAACCCGCAACCTCTGCGTGGCGTTTCCCAACTGCAACTTACCGTAAGAGAACGCAGGCTGCAGATACATCTACATGTGCACATACATATCGCATTTAGCTGCCAGTGAATACTGGCGTCATACGTTGACCACCTACAACCAGAGTCTAGAGATTGTATGATACCTACATACGTCGGTATGTAGCTTAATACCGCCAGCAACATCATATGCCCTTTCCCCCTTTTTCCTGTAGACACAGATATCAACATCACATCGCCTCAACATCAGAGTGGTGGTGCAATGAGGCCAGTGGTGCTACTACTTTGTACCTACTAGGTAGTACCTACCAAGAAGGTATGTACTTGTACCATGTAATGGTTGTTGTCTGAATATGACATGTCTCTTTTGGCAGCTAAACCTGAAAGGCTCGCCAACATGTCAAGTACTTCCAAATAGCCCAATGAAAACATTATCCGCACCTGTACCAGATTCTCCCGAGAAGCAGCTGCCTAATTTCATAAGAAAATAGGAACCTATACAGCAATTTATCACACAAATCACAATCCGATATGCATATCTTACAACACGGAATCATACAGATGTATCGTGCAATTTGTATAACTCTCGAGGTATTTTTTGACACAGAGATAGTCCATTGCGTACAATTAGTGCAATGAGCAATAAATGAACCTCAGCCTCATCAGCCCATCAACTAGGTCCATGTGGGCTGTATGCAGACACCACAACCCGAGGCAGCCACATTACTCCTGTCTGCATCGCAGGACGGCGCCTTGCAGTAGTTCCTATTGGAGCAGATGTCGTTGGAACTCGCAGAAAGTTTCTTTAAAATCCATCAAGCGGTCTACTAGTGGCATGTAACCTAGAATTTAGATAGGTACTGTGTAGCTACTGTTGCCCTCGATCTCCATGACTACCTACTAGTGCGGAGAAACCAAAAGAATCTTGAATCTTGTGTCTGTACCAAGCATTAGGTAGATCTGAATAGCGAAACCTAGACATCTATCTGACAGAGCTCGTCCCCACGGGGACAAGTGACACTACCGGGCCGTTCCATCACTCAAGCCCTTTGTCCCCACAGAAAGCTCCTCAACTTGCGGCGACTTCAAGGATAAGATACATATTCCCCTGTTCCGTTTACCACAAGGTAGTGAGTACCTCATGGCATGTTCTTTTCTTTCTAGGTAGGCAAGATATTTAACCCAACATGGGTTTATCCAAGTAATTTACATATTTTTTGAACCACCGTGGCTGAAAAAGCAGATATGTGACATAAATCTGCATATCGGATGCTGTCATTGGATCGGAAGTTGGAGCGATAGCATACGGAAGAAAGCCACCCCCCATGGTTCGTTTGTTTACACGACTACTTACATATGTAGGTTACAACCATAAGTATGACTCATTATATGGCGTGGGATGTTCACGTCTTATTTTTTCGTATATCAACGTTGTACAACATAATAAACGAATGTGATAGAAGGTGAGTTAGGGCTGGTTTGCCAATAGGCGTCTGAGTCGATTTTATTCTGCCATGGCTCCGAGGCACTCAGCCTACCAGTATCGGGGTGGGACGAGACAAAAGAATCCAATCATGACGAAAGTGTCAATATATCAAGCAGATACAAAATCAAGATTCAGGGCGTTGAAGTCCACTTGTGCGGTTGACTTGCAGAACCTCTCAATTCTATGCCGAATCAAAGACTGTCGATTGATTGTTCCTTGATGCCTCCATGGTTGAGTAGTTGACGTGTGCGTTTGCTGGTACGTCAACGTCGGTGCCTACGGCAGATGGGGGCAACAGGAGGGAGACATTTGCTACACTTTCTTTCCACCTGTACGGCATAGTACGCACTACCTATGACATAAGATGATGTGTTATTTCCTTCTTGTAGCTAGATCATTGAGAGAGTTGCTAAAAGAATAAATGTTGAAGTACATATTAACGTTGGCCTACTACCTACATGTAGTACATACCTGCCCAACTTAGGTATATAGGTGTATCATAGTGCCGGGGACTCGACGTTTGGCAGGAGAGGCAGATCTTGCTCAATGATGGAAATTGCAGGTTCGAATACATATGTATCTCGTACTCAACCGATAATAACCTTCAATCTTACTAGGTAGTTATATGTAATTATGTAGAGTTTTATAGCCTCATCTCATAATAGAGGGAGACGAGCATTGAAAGCTTTAATAGTGTCCAAGGCTAAATTTAATAAAAATACCCGGCAAATTGCAAGCAATTTAAATTAGTAAAACTTTACTAATTTGATATCTGGAAAATCGTCGCTCCGCAACAATTTTGATTTTAAGTACTATTCATTTATTAAAATTTTTTTTTTTTTTTTTTAAATACTAAACATTTAATCATGCCTCCGGCGGCTCCTGCGGAGTGCTGCTCGCTCCGCTCGAAAAGAAGAAAAACAGGTTTAAATCACCCAATGGTTTAACCCAATTAAAAGCCAGGCATTGGCCAGTTTGGGTGGGCACTTTCTTTCACGTAAGGCAATAGTTACATAACAATCACGTGACGGTAAGTTCCTTTCACATCAGACACCGATTACATAATACTCACGCGAGTGACGACGGGATCCTTTGGCATGGATTACGTGGTACTCACGTGACGGTCGGAATACCGGCGTAATGGACGGACCGGACTCACACGTGAAAAGAGTAAATTATACATACCTCCAGGCCACATGATATTGTTGAGAATACCAAGTGGCCCCATCTACTAAGCCTAGATCAACCCATGCGCCGGGACTTACTGGTATTAGGGCTGGAATCGGCTCGGCCGGATGGGGAGAAATTGTCGGATTGGGGGGATTTATCGGAGTATGGGAGGGAGGTTCGGAGGAAAGCCGGTTGTCGGAGGCCGGCTGTATTTGGGAACCGCTTGCGGCGATGGGACTGCCCCAGGGGGGATTTACGGCTGATGGTACATGTTAGCGTCAGGGATAAACCCTCCAGGAAGCTCCGAAAGCTCTCCTGGAGCAGGTCACGGCAGCGGCGGCGGCAGCGGCGGCGGCAGCGCAGCATTCCGGGGCCGGCCGACCCGCCTCGGAATGGGTGTATCAGCCATCAATTGAATAGATCAACTGGGTTGGGGCTGTGTGGCTCTTGAAAAGCTCTTGAAAAGCTCTTGAAAGCCCTTGAAACCTGAAAAGTGGTTGAAAGGAGGAAGAAAAGGATTACAACAGCTTGGGGGTTGAGAGCCCTTATATAGACCGGTCTAGAGCACGCTCCATCAGTACGTACCCCAACCATCCAAGGCAAACAGTCAGGCAAACTAAGCGCTAGTAAGCCTATTGAAATTGAAGCCATCCTGTTGGCTCAAATCTGGACCTATTGAGCCGCTAGTAAAAAGTGAAACGTTTGGAGCCAACTTTTCAAGCTGTTGATTGATTGATTGGGTGCATCGCTTTTCAGCCCCCAAATCCAGCAAACCACCTTCCACACCACCTTCAACACCACCATGTAAATCAATTATTTCAAATATTTCTTGAAGTATTTGATTTAGGTAGTGGTGTTGAAGATGATTAATAAGATGGATTAAATGGATCAAATGGATCAAATGGATCAAATGGATTAAATGGATTGAATGGAAAAAAGTTGAAAAGAAGAAGTTGGAATGGAAGAATTAGAAAAGATGGATTGGATTAGTCAGCTTTGATTATTAAGAATGGAACTGAATGGATGGAATTGAATGGAAAGTGGCTGATTTAAGGCTGTGGAGGCTGAGCTTATCTTATCAATGGAATTAAATAGAAAGTGGCTGAATTGAGGCTGTGGAGGCTCAGCTCCTTATCTTATCAGTTTCTGCGGGAAACAGAGTCCGAGCTTGAAATTTTCACTCATAGGCACGGCTCCACTACACGATTTTATTAAGTAAAACTTTACATTTAACTCGTCCCTCCTTAGTAAAGTTTTACTAATAAATCCAATTAACTACATTCAATGATTAGATTAACATTATGTAACCAACCCTAAACCTTTAGACTCTAATATCACGTGCCTACCACAAACGGACCCCCACCTGAATTTTGTGCACGCCGAAGTGCTATAATACGAAATAATTCACCGAGCGTTCACCACTGGCTCACAAGCCCGGTTAGCTCAATCGGTAGAGCGTGAGACTCTTAATCTCAAGGTTGCGGGTAAGTTCTTTACATCATCTGCCATCAATGCGCCGAATTACATAAGACTAACAGACTTGGAAGGTTCGACCCCCGCATCGGGCTCAATTCCTGATGCCTCTCTGTAATAGAGAGCTTCAACACTCAACTTTGAGGTGCAATAATTTTTTCCCCTTTTTTTTAGTCTTGTTTCTTTATTGGTCACTGTTTCCATTGAAGTTTATAGTTTGAAACTTTAACATATTTGATACATGAAGTGAAGAACGACATGCTGTGTATCTCCATAAAGCGAACTTAAAAAAAAAAACACTTTTTTTTATATACGCGATTTCCTCACGTCGCTCTACTTACTCGGTTTTAGGTAGGCAGCCCCCACCTCCCCAAAGAACATCCTTCGAAGTTGGGAATACCCGACTGCCTTCGCACCTTGCACTAGTCTCGAAGGCATACATTGTACTTCATATCAGTAGCATGTAGGCTCGTAGCTTAATGATAAATGAATCATTCGGATCATTCATACTCGGAAATCATGTAGATTTCTCGTGGCCTGCTGTCGCAACTTCCAGGATATCCTTCTCGAGGCCAGAAACATGAACGAACTCAATGCCAGCATCCTTCAATTTCCGCTTGCTGGAGTTATCACTGACAAACTTGTCTGGTTCCTGGACCCCAACATAGACCGTCTTGATCGTCTTTCCTATCGCTACTATCCTATCCACGCAAGGTAGGTTACCGCTCAGTCTGTAAGAGCACGGCTCCACTGTTGTATAAAGCGCAACCTCGCCGGGAAGCACTTCGCCTAGTCGGCTAGCAGTGGCACCATACTTCTCTGCGAGTTTCTCGAAGCAGCATTGTTCTGCATGAGTGTTTCCAGGAAGTTCCAGCGTGTAACCGGTCGCTAGGATCTCATTCGTAGCTATGTCTACCACGACCGCACCGACTCGATAATTGGTGGGCTTTGGCGGGGATTGAGTGGCTAACGATAAAGCAAGTTGCAAGTATGATTGATGGTCTCCCGCCTCTATATTCTCTATTTTATCGAGGGTAACTTCAACCATTGTCCAAAAATGTTGGGAAACGTGGTTGTCAGGGTGTGTCGATGATTTGATTATATGGCAGTATGGTTGTTGGCACGTGAAAGACATCAATATGTCAATGAATATGGGTATTACCCCACGTAAGTTAAAGAAACCCCGCCATAGCAATTTAAGTATGTAACTAACGTTAATTGACAAATGCTTATCGATAAATCGCGTGAGCCAAAAACGCGTGTACTACGTAACGCGATCTACATATGTAGCTCATTTACACGATTTACATCATTAGGACATACTCACCCTCAAGCATCGTAGGCCCCTTCTTTAATCTCTACTGATTATGGATAACTCTGATGACCTTCTTGATGGCGAACCGCCTGTCATTGACCCATACGAGGTCCTTGGTATAGAGCGCACGGCAAACGAGAGCCAGATCAAATCAGCCTATCGCAAGCTTGCACTTAAAAATCATCCAGGTAGGTTCTACAATATATAATCTAAACCGTACGTGGTTCTATGTTCTGTATGCTTAAGTGTTTTATTTCAATGTAGACAAGGTCGCCGAAGATCAGAAGCAGAAAGCACACGAGACTTTCCAATCTATTGCCTTCGCGTACGCCGTTCTCTCCGACCCTGCACGACGCAAGCGCTACGATGAGACAGGCTCAACCTCCGAGTCCATCGTCGACTCGGAGGGCTTCAGCTGGTCGGATTTCTACCGGGAGCAGTACCGCGACACGGTTTCCGCCGATGCGATCGAAAAGTTCGCCAAGAAATACAAAGGCTCCGACGAAGAAAAAGACGACCTCTTGGCCGCGTACGAGCAACACAAGGGCAAGATGGACAGGATCTACGAAACGGTAATGCTCAGCGACGTCCTCGAAGACGACGAGCGGTTCCGCGCCATCATCGACGAGGCCATTGCCCAGAAAGACGCCCCCGCCTTCAAGGCTTACACCCACGAAAGCAAGAAGTCGCGGGAGGCGCGAGTCAAGGCTGCGCGGGATGAGGGGACCGAGGCTGAGGAGTACGCCAAGGAACTAGGTGTACATGACAAACTTTTTGGCAAGAAGAGCAAGAAGGAAGGCAAGGGGAAGAAGGGATCGTCCGAGGACGACCTGGCTGCACTTATCCGTCGCAACCAGCAAGGGCGAAGCAGTTTCCTGGACGATCTAGAAGCCAAGTATGCGCCAAGCTCGAAGAAGGGCAAGAAGCGCGCGTCGCCGGAGGACGAACCCTCGGAGGAAGCTTTCCAAGCTGCAGCTGCGAGACTTAAGAGGGGAAGGAAGAAGTGATGAAACTAGGTTAGAGCATTGGGCCTCTTCTATCTTTTGCTGGTATGTTTTTAAGGCGTCTAGGTATCACGATGGGAAACAAAGGATGGATGCTATCATGATTATTATGCGCTTAGCTTGAGTTTATCAGCTTCATATTTAGCTTATTAATTGTTGCTATGAATAAAATGTTCATCAACCCACAACATAGCAAGTGCGGGATTCGATGTTACCAAGAGCTTACATATAGCTACTACATCTACCTAAGTTTGGATTGTTTAAGCCTTTAAGGTTATCTGTAAGTTAGGTATGTAGGTACTTTGCCTTGAAGTACCTACCTAACCTACATATGTAGGTAATACTAGGTAGTACTAGGTACCAGGTATGTAATAAGCGGGGCGGCCAGTAGCTGTGACCAAGCTTTTGACCTGTAAGGCTGTAACTACTAGGTAGTAAACTACCTAAGGTTAGTAGCTTTCCACTCGTGTCGCGTCAGCTCTGTTAAGCATAACTACCAACTTCAACTCTTTTTACACCATACGGCTGGAGTTATCGGACTCGCCAGTATTGCTTCCCTTCTCCGGCAATTCAATGCCAGCCCACAAATTTCGATGATCAGTGCGGAATCGCTCGTGTATTACCCTGCGTATTGCTTCCACCTATCCCCGACCATTGACAAATGGTGTCCGCTACGCGCTACCGATATTCATGGCCTTGAGCGTCGGCCTGAATTTCAAGGTACTTAAATACCTAGAAAGCGTATCATCTTTACTTCAGAACTGGGGCTGATCATGAAATAGCCGATAATGTCTTATTCTACCTGAACCACCCGATCCGATGGGTTCGAATTGTTGGGGTTGTAGTCGCGATCGACGACTACTATAGCAACCGGGTTTATACAGTTGACGATAGTAGCGGCGAGTGCATTGAGTGCTCAACAAGTCTCCCGAAGCCAGACCCTGGCCTCACCAAAACCAGCGCTGATGGAGAAACGGCCAATGCCACCGCTTCCATTCCGGGTGCGCACTCGGATATCGATGTTGGAATGGTCGTCGACGTCAAAGGCAGTACGAATCTTTACAGGGACCAGAAGCAGATAAAAATCCATAAGATGCAACGGATCAGATCGACCGAGTACGAGGTTCAGTTCTGGAAAAAGATCCGCGACTTTCGGAAAGATGTCATCAGTAGACCATGGATATTAGAGAACAGAGAGGTGCGCCGTTGTAAGAAGGAGTATATGGCCGACGCAGATGTCGAAGCGGATAAGAAGGAGAGGATGAAGCGAAATATATCGGCTTCTGGAAAATATGCACAGACGGCATATAACGGGACGACGGCTACAGACACGCGAAGGAAGCTTGCGAAAGAGGTACTCTCGATTCGACGCGAAAGTAAAAATGCATATACTAAGGGTGAGTACGACGCATTAGGACTGTAATTCAGGAAAGCTTTATTGTCTGTTTTACTAGTTTACTGAGTTCAAGTACTGGTATAGATAATGCATTTTGTGACTTGATGTTTGACTAGTTATTGCTCGTTGATCATTGTACATACTAGTAATAAGTTACCTACTGAAGTGGGTCCGGGTTTGTCTTGCCGTCCAGGGTTTAAAAGTTGCTTTTCTTTTATTAGAAATTCAGTAACTACCACTGCACTTCACGATTCCATCTTGATTCGGGTAGCGACTTCTCATAATCTATCCTACTAGGTACAATACCTAGTAAGTAAGAAACGTTACCCATTTACTATTAGGTAAACCATGCGGAGGTGAGCAATCATAAGGCAGTTGCAACTTTCAACAGTTATAGGCAGTAGTTTCTCTTAGCATCTAAATAAATCAGTCAAGCTAAGCCCTGGAGGTTAATTCATTCTTGTCCGACACATCTATTTACACACCTCACCTAGTATATATCCGATTCATCGTGATATTCCTCACATCCCTTATTGATTAGTCCTAAGGCCTCAGTTTACTAACCCAAACCTACTTGCTCCTACTTATTCCTACTTGCTCTCCTTTCACTATTCCTATATTGTATGACTTTATACCACTTTTGTTCCAGACATAGCCACGCTATTCGCAACACCCGATCTCATTCCAGTGACTCTTCTAGACTCCTTCGATTGCTTGGACCCGTTACATAGGTAGGACTCTCCGGCCCCTATTCAAGACAGCCCATTCCTAGCATCACTAGTTCTACACGTAGCTTGGCGTTGTCGGTCCTGACTCAACCGTCGCCCGGTACACCAACATCATTCTTGAACACCTCAGCACGAATCACCCACCATGTCATCCAAGAACACGTATAATCCATCCAAGGCCCATATTGTTTGGGTCTTGGGCTTGGTCTCTGCACATCAAACTTGGAAATCTCAACTATTTTCATGATCGTTATGAAATCTCTTGTTATTTATTGCATCTTCACGATACCACACAACCAAGAACACTCTGACCGAAGCGCTGGCTGCTCCGAGACTATTTTGATAGAGCCTCATAACTACTAATATCAACAATATTTCTTTTCCCCTCTTCCCCCTTACTCAAGTGACTATGTTGTTTTTAAATTGGATACTGACATTAGCTCAGGTTAGCACTGTACTCACAGCCCGGCTTTGGATTCGGAGGACTGAGACTAACCCGTACCCCAAAGACGGGCTCGCAGGACGAGATCCTTACCGAAAGAAATACTCCAACGTCTCGGAGATCCAAGATCCTCACCGTGAAGGCTATCAACTTCTAACAGCCCCTACAAGTTTCGCCTCTCCAACCGTCTTGCGAACTTTTCCTCCGCCATTTGGGTATAATAGAACTAGTTGCAACACTACAACTACAGACAGAGAAGTACCCATTCAGACTAACACAGTTCCCAAAGCAACCGCCATTCCAGAGTCACCAGAGCCAGACGAAACCCCGTCAGATCCGTCCACGATGGGACCAACAGCCACAACGTCAAATATCTTCGGGGCACCGATTGCAACGACCCCTCCTGCATCATCCTTCCAAGTCCAAAAGGATCATCCTGTGCCTCGTAAGGGGATTAGTGGTCCCACGCCCATAGGCACGAATAAATTCTACGCTAATTTTTTCCTTGGTAACCAGACGTCACCCACCTATGTTCATCCGTATTCACTGGTCTGGGCACGAGGTCAGGGGGCCGCGTCCAGCTGGGGGTTAGCCATCTCACATATTGAAGCAAACCAGCGAGTTTACGGCGATATATCAAATGAGACAGGTGCGGCCAAATACTTTTTGAACCCTGCTGGCATTCAGTCGCTGGCTCTCTCAGCGATGGAACTTGGGTCAAAGACCGCTTTGACGACAGATAACTTGTCTGCACATTCGGTCAATGTAAATTTACATGTAAACTCCACCTCCAACCCTTTGATCACCTTTCCACTAGTGCAAGGCATGGGATTCGTCACAGCTGTTTATAAGGGGGGAATTCCGGTCATCAATACCGGTATCTACTTCAAAACAGTTACGAAATCGATCAGGGGGCCAAAGCCAGGGGTTACTAAGTACACTTTGTACTTGGAAGATGGCAAAGTATGGCATGTATACGCCTACTCTGCGAAGGGCGACCCCTTTGATCTCACGGTCGTCAACAACAAGATGGCCAGGGCCAATAAAACATTTGACGGCATCGTTCAGGTTGCCAAGGATCCCGGCAATGCTGAATCTGTCATAGATGGCTCAGCTGGGGCGTACCCAATGAATGTCACGCTATCTGGCTCGGTCTCTGGGTCGAAGGGTTCCTACACGTTTCAATTCCAGAAGGCGGGAATCTCAAACTCTACATTATTGATGTACGCCTTACCTCACCATGTGGATTGTTTCGATGATGCTACCAACAAAAGTGTCTCGACGGCCAAATTACAAACCACAACCAAAGGGGTGGCATCAGGAGTAGTTGCAGATTCGTGGACGATGGTTGAACCGCATATGCCTGTCTCGATGGGGTTCGCCCCTTGGGATCCGGTCGAGGGCGAGAAAAAGACTCTGCAAAGCTCGGCAATCAGCACGATAAGTGCAGCGGCTATAAACGAAACATCTCAAGATGTAGACCAGCAATCTAACCAGAATTCAATGTACTTCAGCGGAAAGGTATTGTCGTAGCCTTATTATTTCCCTTTCTCTACCCCGTATATCGGTTGCTAATATCCTGATAGGCGCTTGCAAAGTTCGCTGGAATTTCTCTTACGGCCAATGACTTGCTGAAGAACAAGACACTGGCCCAGAACGGCCTGGGGAAACTAAAGGCTGCCTTTGCTCGATTCTCGACAAACAAACAGCAGTTTCCGCTATACTATGAATGTGAGACTCCTGTTTCCACAATTTTGAGGAGAGACTGACGTGAGCAGCTGCTTGGGGAGGTGTTGTCTCCTCCGCAACCTACCAAACTGGAAATGATGGTGCGGATTTTGGCAACACCTTTTACAATGATCATCATTTTCACTACGGCTATTTCATCTATGCGGCTTCTATAATTGGATATCTTGACCCTGGCTGGTTAACCAAAGACAACGTTGACTATGTAAACACACTAGTCAGAGACATCGCTAACCCTTCGCCCGTGGATAAATACTTCCCAGTCTCCCGAAACTTCGACTGGTACCATGGCCACAGCTGGGCTCATGGTCTGTATGAGACCGCAGACGGAAAGGTTAGCGCTGCCGAAGATACAGGTCTTCGATCTGATGCTAACTTAGTGTATAGGATCAAGAATCGAGCTCGGAGGACGCGATGCACGCATATGCCATCAAGATGTGGGGAAAGACGATCAAAGATGCCAACATGGAAGCCCGGTAAGGTGGTATGCTACCTGGTTTGCTTCAAGGGCTAACATGTTATGAATTATAGGGGCAATTTGATGTTAGCCATCATCGCTCGCTCACTAAACAGATACTACCTCTACACAGAAGACAATACGATACAACCCCCAGAGTTTATTGGAAACAGGGTTGCTGGCATCCTGTTTGAAAATAAATGTGACCATACCACATACTTTGGGACAAACCCAGAGTATGTCCAGGGCATTCATATGATACCGCTTCTTCCCAGCACGAAACTCACTCGACCTGCCAACTTTGTGAGACAAGAGTGGGCAACGTATTTCGACAATGGGCGGGCTGACACGGTCGACGGAGGCTGGAAAGGAATTCTTTACGCTAATCTGGCTACTGTCGACCCTAAGACCGCATGGGACTTCTTCACGCGGAAAGATTTTGACCAGATGTGGCTGGATGGGGGTGCCTCTTTGACGTGGTATCTGGCGTATTGTGCAGGTAAGTTCCTACCTAGCAATCGTGGGCCCGGGATTTATAAGGCTAACAATAACTTTCAGCCTTCATGTGATGGGTATAGAGAACTCTATTGGGTCCATGGAAGACGACACATTGATGATCGAGTAGATGAATTGCCTGGACATATTGGGAGCATTGACGGTCTTGTCAGTTATTTTTAAGCATGGATAACGAAATGGATAATGATTACAGCTAGAAGATAGAATTCGGGGATTCACGACAACGATAGAATAAGGAGGCAGGCCCCTTACATACACATTTTAGAATAAGTACCTACCTACAGATAAACCTAGACAAATTGACTTTTTGAGTTTCTTGACACCTGAACTAAATGAATCTTGTTAGATGGGATGAGATGGGATGGCATCGCATGGCATGACATCGGAGTAGTCCATCGGCGACAGTTGAAAGTATTATGTAATACATAAGAAGGATTTACAGCATAACAAATCACATTTGCGTACCAGCGACATGGAGATGAGGATCCGTAGATGACGTTATATGGAACTATCGATAAGCGATTTAGACCCGATTATCAGATCTGCCGTACCACTGGACAAGTCGTACATACCTGTACCTGGCCATAACCATGGAATGGGCAGTGCTTATGTAACAAGAGGGAGGCCTCACCTTAGTTATCTTGTGTAGTACAATAGGCTTTTGCATCATACATGTAGGTACCTAGGCCTAGGGTAGCTTTTATGCCCATTCCGTTTCAATTTTGGAGTTTCACGACATTTGCTGTTGCCCGTCACAGCCACGCTTGGCAATTTTCCTACAATACGTAGTATCTGCATAAGCAATTTTAACTGCTCATCGTACATACACCTCGGCCTTGCATCAAATCTAGCTCGGTGATTGGCATATTTGGAAGTGTTGTATTAGTAATGAGTTGGAATAATAAGTCTATTTAACTACATGTTAGTTACCTCTATTGCTCGTTTTATCTTTCCTATTGTGAGGTCTGACTATTCTTTTATTCTTTTTTTATCTCTATTTTTGATCCTGTTCCAACGATTGTTATGATGTAACTGTCAGGATTCAGAGCTCTGGAAGCTAAGTTCCTAGTACTAGAACCCCTGCCAAAGTTCGTACGCATAGTACCCGGAGCTGGTGAAATAAGTTTGCGTTATCTCCTTTGCTTGGATTTGATAGGTGCAAAACATCCGCCCAAACCCCTGGATGTTTTGAATCCTCGTACACCCTTAGAGCTACGGCCACGTTTTACTGCAGAGTACCGTGGTAGGTCTGATGCGTTCGCTCACCTTGTTGCGGTGGAGCAGTGGAGTAGTGGAGCAAAAGGTCAGGTTTAGCTCAAGTTTACCGGTTCGATATTCTTGATATCGGAACGACGTCAGGACTTACGCGTGGATGCATACTAGTTATGTACACACAGTCAACAAAGAAGAAATTTTGTTTGTACGGAGGATTCAGAGACAATATTCTGACTCGCACATTGTTGGATTTTCGAAAAAAGGAAGAAGAAAAGAATAAGAAGGTAACTATGTACATGTATTGTACCTAGTTTGAATCAGAGTGACATCGAGGTGAGAACATTTGAAGAAGGGCCTTGGCATAATTAAGATTTGCGCTACGTACGAAACACATGTACTAGGTACTATATACCTAGGTAGTTACTATTTCTTGATACCAAGAACTCCAAGGAAATCCAAGAAATCCAAGAAATCCAAGACTTTCTAAGCCCAAACGACAAGCAACAAAACAACGAAGCGTGCAATGTTTTGAGCCAGGAACGGTCAAGCTAACTGAGTAGTGGTGATCTTAACTCGTTGCTCAGCAATTGTTGTTGCGCTTATTATATTATCATTTTACTTACCCTTACTCACTTCAATGTTACTAACTTGAAGTTACCTACCTACTGTACATACAACATTGAACTATTGATGTAGGTACATACATCAATGATACATATGTCATACTACAATCCATACTAAATAACTCCAAAGCTACATCGTACCGGGCTAGGAGCTACCTGGTAGTCATCTCAACTTGAACTAAACAAACCCTCCAATCCCTAACAAGAAAAAAACGGAAAAAAAGTAACAAAGGGCTCTATCTTCTACCCGTCTGCCCGTCCGCCTGTCTGCGCCTCGTGCAATCAAAAATTGCACTCTCTTAATCGTTACCTTTGGGGGGAAATATCCAAGCCTCCTTGATAATGTGTAAGTACCAGATCTATACCTAATATTCCAGTTGTCTGCTCCTCTTCATTTCAGTTTATTCTCGATATACCTATTTGTACCTATTTGCCTGCCTACATACCCAATCCAATTGAATGCCCAATTAATTATCTCACTATCACTATCATATCCCTATTACCCTCTTCCTCCTCCCTTCTTTCCTTCCAGTCTCCTTTATCTTCGCCTCACACCCTACCGTTCTTGTCTACCTTCCTTGCTACACTCGGCAGAGAATGCCGTGTTGGTTACCGTGGAAACTGTAACAGTCGCTAGATCCCTGGTATATGTCCTATTTGGCTAACTATGACGCGTGACGATGGAAAATAATTCAGTCAACTTACCAAGTGTCCAATGGAGAATTCGCAAGACAGTAACGAGCTTGACGAACCCCGGCCATTCCTATGAGAATGGTGAGCCTCACGAGGGCACTGCGTTGTTAGGAAATAACCACGTCGGCACCAATGGCTTTGGCAGCCACCACAGTCATGGCGGGGCCTGGGAGTTCTTTTTCAATGCGCAGCACACGCCGGGTACCGACAACTCGAAGCCATGGGTGAAATATCCGGCGCATGTCTGGCATATTACCAAGGCCACTTTATTAAGCAGTACGTATAACCACTCCAGCAATACAATTGTTACATATTCATCCCTATGATGTATATGTAAATTCCGGGTTCGGAGTTGTAGGGAATGTGCATTACTAAGTCCGATATTGATAGGTCCTGTCAACGTTCTACTCGTGGCTGTACCAATTGGTATCATTGCTGGTCAAACCGGTTGGGATCCAGTCGCTGTCTTCACCATTAACTTTTTCGCCATTATTCCCCTGGCTGCCGTGCTCTCATTCGCGACGGAGGAGATATCTGCCAAGCTGGGCGAGGCTCTCGGAGGCTTGCTCAATGCTACTTTTGGCAATGCGGTAGAGCTGATTGTAAGATGGCCCCCAACTCTCGGTTCCACGCATGTCGCATGTCGCATGTGCCAAAAAAAAGCTTATTGACCAACTTCCTTGCAGGTTAGTATAATCGCCTTAAGGGACAAGCAGATCGAGGTTGTCAAGTCTTCCATGATTGGCTCGATTTTGTCGAATCTGTTACTTGTCATGGGTATGTGTTTCTTCTTTGGTGGTATCGTCAATATGCGAGATGCAGATGGCAATGCCCAGGAGCAGAGCTTCCAGACCATCACCGCCCAGACCACCGCCTCATTAATGACACTGTCCGCTGCCTCTATGATCCTGCCTGGAACTGTAAGCATCTTGCCCTCGCCAATACCATTTTGTTGTGAAGTTAATGCTAACATATGTAGCTGTTTATGATTATAAATAATAGCAAGAGTGGCGATACTGCGGAACGCAACAGCGTCATACTCTCCCTCTCTCGCGGGACTGCCATCATTTTATTAATTCTATATGTCCTCTACCTTTGGTTCCAGCTGAGAACCCACCATACGCTGTTCAGCGCTGAGTCTGGACCCGACCCGGAACAAGAACATGACGAACCCATTTTACCAGCTAGCGATGACTTCCCCGAGAACACACGAAGACCGGTTCGTCAGGAACATGGCGAAGTCGTGGAAGAAGAGGTACATATGAGTCCGTGGTCTGCTGGCGCTGTCCTCATTGTCACGACGGTTTTGGTCTCTATTTGCGCCGACTACCTGGTCGAAAGTATCGATGCTCTCGTGGAACGCGCGCACATTAGCCGAAGCTTCATTGGTCTTATTCTCATTCCTATCGTGGGCAATGCCGCGGAACACGTCACTGCGGTTGTCGTGGCGGTTAAGAATAAGATGGATCTGGTAAGAGAGGTCACGAAACTTTCAACTAGGATGAATCTAATTTGGAGTTTAGGCTTTGGGAGTTGCTATTGGCTCCAGTATTCAGATTGCTCTGTTCGTGACTCCATTCCTCGTGGTGCTTGGATGGATTATGGATAGGGATATGGATCTGCACTTTGAGACTTGTACGTTGACTCAACTCTTACTATCCACTTGGTATATCCGTGGCACTAACATGGGTGTTCTAGTTGAAACTGTTTCATTTGCGTTGGCTGTATTGGTCGTGATCTACACGGTCCAAGATGGAAAGTCGAACTATCTCGAAGGCGCAATGGTAATGTCCCCCGTCTCCCCTACAAACGTTTGGTCCGTATGACTAACACATGTTTAGTTAATGGCCTTGTATATTATTATCGCTCTCGCGTTCTTTGTCACTCCTAGTGCGTACTTCGATACCGATTGGGTGGTTGGTAAGCTTAGCAGCTTGATCAGTTCGACATGATCTTTTGTCTTTGCAATGCCCGGGCCTTTTTAAGGGGTAGTTTTACCGTGTATGAAGATGCGCAAGTATTCGCATTCTACCACGTCGTAACCACTCGGCACATCACTTGATGACGTGTGGGAACGTACTACTACTACTACTATACAATAGCACTATGAAGTAGTGCCTACCTACCTCGACGAGGTTTCCCTTGAAATCCCATATTCTCATCAAGTTATTCAAACGTACCTTTCCTCTTTCCCTTTTCGTTTTTGTGCCTCTTCCTCGTCTGTTCACGTGTATAACTAGTAGTTGGTTTAGTAAGTTTGGTTGGGCAGAAACCCCTTTAAAAGACGGCACAAGCTGTAGGTAGTACCACCAAATGTTTGGGGGGTTTTTTTTTTGGGGGGGGGGGGTTATGTTTTTCTTTTGGAGGGGGTAAACTGGAATACGGCCCTGGGTCAAAAGAGGGAGTAAACACAAGGGAGCATATTATCCTCTTCCGTTTAGTTTTGAGGCTTCAATGAGCTTATAAAAGGATGTACAATGTACTATCTAAAAGTTACGATGTAAAAGTTATGTATCTACCCATCTACCCATCTACCCTGATACCTTTCAAGAAATGTGGAATCGATTGATGAATGTCTCCTCGGTTCTCCAATTGCTGTGGGGGTTGGAGGGGTCGGAGGGGTAAATAGCTAAATAGCTGTACCAACTAGGTATGGCTGGTATGGGATGACAAACGTCATTAAGTTAGCGGTATTATGGTATCTAAAGTCAATTTCTCAAATTCCAAGCTTTTCTATAGGAGGAGGCACATTGATAATTACTTGCCGTTCTATTTATTGGAACTCTTACTACTACGATTCACTACCCACCGAGGTATACATCCGGTACAGATATTTGATCAATAACTAGACGTCAACAGTGTAGTATCTAGTATCTCCACCCCACCTTATGTATTGTCTCCGCGCTCTACATAGAATCACCCTTCAACCAAATCTATTCCGTCCAGTTACGCAAGTAACGAGTGAGCGCAGTTTCATTTCTAGATCTAGTTATCATTACTTAGGTAAGTTAAGTTACCTTAGTAGCCCTGGAGGTATAATGAAGCAATTGTCTTATATCTCCCATCATATAGGAGTCGGGCACACTTTCGCAACTATGGCGACGACTACGGATACAAAGAACTATAAGTTCAATCACTCGATGTAAGACTAGAGCTTCCCATCATTTTATTAGGTACATTGAGATATAGAAACACAGCTAACTAAATGTGATATCCAAATCGTAGGATCCGAGTGAAGGACCCCAAGGCATCTGGTACGAATGCATTTACTTACTACCCACTTTGGTATCTGTGGATATCTTCCATAGCCCCTAACAATGGCTCCTTCTCCTCCTCTCAAGATAGGACAAATAAAGTCACAGCATTAACACTCTAGTGTGATCTTTCCAACCGCCCAACAGTCAAATTCTACGAGTTCCTCGGCATGAGCCTGGTTAAGCACCTGCAATTTCCGGAGGCCAAGTTCGACCTGTACTTCCTGGGGTACGACGGCGCCGGCGCGCTTTCTGGGGGAAACCAGACGTTCGACCGGCAGGGCCTGATCGAGCTGACGCACAACTACGGCACCGAGGACGACCCGCACTACCGCGTCAACACCGGCAACGCCGAGCCCCACCGCGGCTTCGGCCACGTCTGCGTAGCCGTCGACCACATCCAGGCCGCCTGCCAGCGCCTCGAGGACGCGGGCTACAAGTTCCAGAAGCGGTTGGCTGATGGCCGCATGAAGAGTATTGCTTTCGCGCTGGATCCGGATGGGTACTGGGTTGAGATTATTAGTCGTAAGAGAGGGTCCAAGGGCGCGGATGATCCTGAGGAGCAGGGGGTGCAGACGGATGTTTCGACGTATCGGATGGTACGTAGTTGCCCCCTTTTCTCTTTTTACCTCTTTTTTTATACATCAATGGGGAGTGGAAAGCTTTTTAAAAAAAAACTTTCGTTAAAGACAAATGATATACAGACATTTTAACTAACCCACGACATAACAACAGAACCACACGATGATCCGCGTCAAGGACGCCGAGAAGTCGCTCAAGTTCTACCAGGAGGTGCTCGGCATGTCGCTCTTCCGCACCAATGAGCAGCCCGCCGGCAAGTTCAACCTGTACTTCCTGGGCTACGGGGCCCCGCCCCAAGACGGCTTCACGGCCGACTACGAGGGCCTGCTCGAGCTCACGTGGAACTACGGCACCGAGAAGGATGAGGCCTTCAAGTACCACGACGGTAACTCGGAGCCCCAGGGTTTCGGGCATATTTGTGAGCTTTTCCTCGAGTTTTCCTTTCCTTTCCTTTCCTCTGCCCCTTTCCTTTTTTTTTTCACTCCCACCTCTAATACACAAGGTGTTAGGCGTCTCGGTCGATAACATCGATGCGGCGTGCGCGCGGTTCGAGGGCCTCAACGTCAACTGGAAGAAGCGGCTTACGGACGGGCGCATGAAGAATGTCGCCTTCGTGCTGGACCCTGATGGCTACTGGGTCGAGATTGTGCAGAATGAGCGGTTCTCTGGGAAGGAAAACTTTTAAATATGCTGATGTTGTTATTTATGTCGCGGGTCCACGAGGGATGCATTTACGAGCTTATCAAATATGGCTTTGGTGATGGTTGGTAGAGGCTGAGTACCTACCTAGAAGTAAGGGATGTAGGTAAAGGTGCCTTACTAGGTAGACAGACGGATATATCAAGAGCAGCATTGAAAGTCTTGCCGAGGCTGAGGTATTGCTATTACTTCCTTACCATGAACACTAGCGCTTTTGGTTGCTTAGTATTATACCTACCTACATGAATAGAGACTCACATGCCCAGGTAGGTGTTGCGATTGTCCTGTTATATGTTGTGATGTATACGACAGGCAGTAATCGCAAGTGGTTAGTTAGGTATCTCTTTTTGAGAAATGAGGATTACATGTAGGTATGAAGGTGGGTATCTATATCTAGATGCATGCCCCTCTATGTGGTTCCTTGCATCATCCATCCATCAAGGTATTCGTCATATGCAGGTACACGGCGGCACACCACCCACCCACCCAGGCAGGCACATATAACGATAGTTAACCCACATGCTGATCAGCAGTGACAACATCTATGCATACTAAAATGCACGAGAACTAGTTTCAGCAGAGTGGGTGGGTGGGTGGGTGGATGAGCTTGGCTGGCTCTGCACCTCCTGCTGGGCACAGAGCTTGCCGACTCTGCCGAGACACGTACACACATACATATATGTAAGCCCCATCCACATCTAACCTACTTAAACCCCAGCCTGCCCACCAACCCTCTCCACCCTTCTCTCCTCTTCTCCCCTCTCCCTCCCCCTCTCCCTCTCCTTCTCCTTAAAAAACGCCAACAGTCCTAAATCATACAGCATCTTCAAGCCACCCGAGCACGCAAACGAGACCCAGAACAGATCCCGGCCCACGAGCACCCCCGTCAGCAGGGGCCCCAGGCTCTGCGCGGTGGTGCGCACGACGTTGACGGTGCCCATGACGGCGGTGCGCTCAGCGGGCAGCACGATGGCGGCGAGGAAGGCGGAGCGGGGGCCCGTGTCCATGGACTGCGTGCTCGCGTTGAGGATGAGCAGGGCCAGGGCGAGGTGCAGGTTGGTGGGGACGCCGAGGAGGGCGCGGAAGATTTGCGAGGGGAGGTGGGTGAATATCATTGTCTGTGTGTTTGTGTGTGGTTGGTTAGCAAAGAAGAAAAGGAAAGAAAAGAAATTGGTGGGTATGGGAGAGGGGAAGGGAAAGGGAAAGGGGAAGGGGGGGATAATAGGAAGGGAGACTGCTTACGTTAACGTTGCCAAACCGTTTGGCGAGCGACGACGCGACGAGCATCGAGAGCGCGGCGATCGTCTGCGTGACGAAGAAGATGGAGCCGAGCGTCCCTTCCTCGACCTTGAAGACCGATTTGAAGTAATACGTGATCCACGATAAGGGCGCGAGACCGGATCCGAAGGAGTCGAGCGCAAAGAGAAGACACAGCGTGATGACCACCGGGACACTCTCCTTGCTTATATCCGGGACCAATGCACGCAGCCACCCCTTCTTTGGACCGGGAGGAGGAGGAGGAGGAGGAGGAGGGGTTGTGCTGGCCTCCGCATCACCGGCTTCATTACCTAGCAGCGGCCTCGTCTCACCATCCCTCTCTTGCCTCTCTCGCTGTTGCTTCTGCAGCTGCTTCTTCTCCGACTCCACCTCGTGGCTCAACAGCGCCGTCAGCGCGAGCTTCACCAGCCCCAGGACAGCGTAGCCAACGTACACAGCACGGTACGCGCGCATCGACCCCCACCCCAGCGTCCCAGTCAGGTGCTGCAGCACCCACCCGCACGTCATGGAGCCACACGCGGCGCCGACGAGGCCGAGCAGGCTGTACCAAGCATACACGTCGCTGCGCCTGTCCGGGTCCGTCAGCTGCGCGACGATGCTCTCCTCCACCGCGCGGAACGGGCCGATCTCGTTGCCGCTCGGGCTGACCACGCCGACCACCGCCGCCGCGAGCAGGACCCAGTACGACCCGGCCAGCGCGAACACGGCCCCGCTCCCGGCCATCAGTGCGGCGCCCAGCGCGAGCACGGCGCGCCGCCCCAGCGCGTCGGCGCACACCGTCAGCGCGAGGCTCGCCGCCGCGTCGCCGCCGAGCGTCAGCGTCATGAACAGCCCCACGGCGGGCTCCGCGAACCCGAGCCCCGAGAGGTACGCGACGAGCGCGAGCGTCGACCCCCCGTACGCGAACATCCGCACCAGCCGCTGCAGGCACAGCAGCTTCACGTCCCGCGCCGCCGCGTGCAGCGAGAGCAGCCCGCTTTCTTCGAGCGCGCGCCACAGCATAGCGTCGCGTTTGGGCGGCGGGACTGCTGCTGCTGCTGCTGCTGCTGCGCCGTCGCCGTTTGGTGGTGGTTCCATGGTTAGTAACTAGATAGATACCTAGGTGTACTGTAGGTAAAGGGGTACCTAGTACTTAGGTATAGGTGGGTGGGTGAGTAGGTATACCGGAGCTCGGCTCGGCTCGGCTCGGCTCGGAGATAAGGAAATTGAAAGATGGAAAAGGAGATGAGAGTATTAGAGAATGATTCTTAAGGTAAGTACCTAAGGTTAGTACATATGTAGGTTTGAGACGTCTAGGTCTATATATATATATATATATATATATTGAAAAGCTGAAGCCGTGTAGCCGGGTCTCGCCCTTCTATCTAACATTAGTAACCTTAGGAGGTTAAAGATCAGGATATATTACGGAGAACGCTTCGGCGCTGAGGTGTTGTGAAAGTGTGAAGGTCGGAGTTAAGCTAGTTAAACCTTGCTATAGTTAAACCATTCGACAATAGGTACAGTAGATCGCCCCCACTGCGGATGCGAGCATGGGCGAGTCATTGGTAGACTGGTAACGAATACTTTGAAGCTATCGTGACATGCTCGGCTTTAATAGGAATAGGCATTGTACAGAATTCAATGACGCCTGCATCATCATTCAATTATGTTTAGGTATTGGACTCTACTCCAGAAGCCATCGCGATAGATCTTGGCGACCCTTATTATCGTACCGATACTATTTTTGGGTGTATTAAAACTTGGGGGGGATCCCCTCATTCTCGCTCGCTCTTCGGGGCTCAACTTGTAATACCTAGTAGAAAATTTATATAACTCTAGACCTAGAGAAAGCTACCTAGGCAGGTATATAATCACCTGCCTAGGTACCAAGTCGTACAGGTCTAATAGGTATCTTCCATCCTACTCCAAATACCGAATGCAACGAACGTTCGTTTACAACTTGTATCGGAAGTGCTTGTTCTGCTTGTCCGTCAAATCCTCGAACCCTTCCAACCACTCCTCCTCATTATCTGCCCGCTGCCCTAACTTATCGCGCTTCTTATTATCCAGGAAGCACCACAGAGCATAGAGTCCTTGGAAGAATACGATTGCGCAGTACGTACCCAACAGCCCCTTGATCGCGGTTGGATATCTCGGTGCCTCCTCGGGGAGAAATAGGTGTGGGCCAATAATACTGCAAGTTATCAATGTAAGTATGAAGCGTTCGTGTTCCCTTGTTGCGAGCGGGGGGTTGACTTACTTCCCAACCACGAAACAGATGAAATAAATTCCGATAACAGTGCTTCTCTTGGTATGTCCAGCTACGTTGAGGCCGGGAAGAGTCCAGTTTAGTATGATGGGCGACCCGATCGTATTCAGCATCCAACACATGCCCACCAGCGCATAACGGTGCTCTATATCGATGGTAAGAATGCCCACGAGCGCTGCTATACCCACTAAGCAGCCAATCACGGTACTCCCGCCCACCATGTGTGGGAGCTGTGACATGTATCCCATGGCAATGCTGAAGCATACTTCAAAAGCACCTCCCGGTGCCTGAAGAAGCGAAGCCCTAAGCGCGTCGAAGTTGAACCCCTTGATGATAGCCGACATGAAATTAGTAATGGAGCCGTTGAGGATTCCAAGTGCGATGCCCATCAACCATAATAAGTAACATTTCCCATCCAGTAGTGCTTCCCTCATCTGGTAAGGCCTGATTGTCGCATCCTTCAGGCCCATCTGGTTCTCCGAGACACGCCAGACGGCGACGAGACGTTCGTATTCCGTTAGCATCTTGGCGTTGTGCGGTCCATCGGGGAGGTAAATTATGATGACAAACCCCCAGGCAAACGTAAGGGCACCGACTATCTACACGCACATGACTTCAAGTTAGCTTCGGTTAAAAGGGGCGAAAGACGAGATGGCGAGTCCTACCAGGAAAATGAGCTTCCACTGAGCTATCACCAGACCTTCGGCGACGCCCGAGCCATAAGCCAGAAGTGCGCCGAGGATATTAGAGAGACCGTTCGTGGACAGCCAAAGGGAACTGCGTAGGGACTGCTCCTGACGAGTCCAAAGCATGGAGGTTATCAGGATACACGCAGGCGATAGAACAGCCTCGAACATGCCGAGAAAGAATCGAATGGCGACGAAACCACCGAAGCTGGTCACTGTGGCCTGAAGCATGCAGACGGCTCCCCAGATGAACAGCGAGCCGCCCAACAATTTTCCAATGGCAACACGCTGCAACAGCATATTCCACGGCCATGCTCCGACTTTGTTGATGCAAAGTTAGACAAGTTTTCAACATATCGGAAGGATATTTCACAGGTAAACGCTTACAAAGCCAGCCAAAGTACAAGGCAGATACGACCCAAGAGTAATTGTCACCCGTCATATGCGTATCAGCTTGTAACCCATACGCATTCGCATAATTAAGCCTATGCACCAGATCAACTTGTTAGACCGCTTCCCATACAACCGGGATAGAGATACATAGGCGAAAACGTACGTTTGCTTGTCGAGGAATGCCAACATGTACGTAACCATCAACTTTGCTCATGACATTTCTGTTAGAACCCAAACCATATAACGAGAAGAGAGGAGATTCCTGAGGAAAGGCATCTTACCATGGGAAGCACGAAAAGATCCAGCTTCCAGCGGACTTTCACGGCGTCCGCCTCGAGTTGCGCCCGGTCATATTGCAGCGCCTGCTGGACCATCTCCTTGCCCAGTGCATCGAGGTCATTGCGCTGGTGAAGGAGGCGTTGGAAGGCGTTCTGCTCGGGAGCCACGACGATGTCGGCGCCGCGCTCTGTATCGACTGAGGTCGCACCTGCTGGAGATTCTTTCTTCTCCGACATTTTCGATGCGTACTCCGTCTTCGTCTTTCTACAATTCAGAAACAAAGAAGACGAAAACTCTCGCGAAAGTCCTAACACGTCCGAAAATGGCTCTGTGTAGATATTAAATGTGACCTCCACTTACCTACCTGTTGGGTACCTACCTATCCACCTTTATCCCAGTATCGCCTAGAATGGGGGCTTCGGTGAGTGTGACGATAGAACCCAAGGATCATGATATTGATGTGCATGGTTGGTATGATAAGATGCTTGGCGTGTCCGGTCGAGATGAAGGCGTGCAGGTGGTTTTGGAACTGACGTCGCCGCCTGGAACTACCTATTACGTCCTACTGGCTGGATATACTATAAGCTTTCAGATGAGGATCGCATTTATGCCAATATTTAGGCCACCCCATTTATCTCCGGGTTTATTTAGGTAATAAGAATTACTAGAGGTTGTAAGGTAGTAATGGTATCTGGTCAAGACATCAGGATGTGAGGAGTAAAACAGGGTAAATCTATGGAATGTCTTGGGGCCTTGGGGTATGTTATCTCTCGGCGTGCTTATATACCCCACACTTGCTCTCAGGGGCGGGCTCACAAAAATTGCATACTATGTAGTATACTGTGCTGTGATGTGTAGGTGCGCTCTCATAACGGACTACACCTATTTGAGTATTCTTCCGTCTTGATACTAACCATCGAGCGCCTAGTTCAAAGACGCTGATCAATGACTATGAGTAATAATCACATCTTTAGTACAGGTAAGACCTGGCAGGAACTCCAGGCGGCGAAGTTTGCAGAACGAGACTCGAGGATACCGGCAGAATGGAAGTTGAAGAAGGAACACTTACCATCGGAGGACACGGCCGATCTCCGGTCTATTGTCAATTCATGCGAGATATTGTCTTCGGCCGAGCTAGCAATTACTAGTGACCAGTATGATGCTACTTCGCTAGCTGCTGCTATCGCGGAGGCCAAGTTCACGGCTGTAGAAGTCGTGACAGCCTTCTGCAAACGCGCTGCTGTAGGACACCAGGTCTGCAACATGTTGACGGAGATCATGTTCGCAGATGCGATAAAGAGGGCCGAGGAATTAGACGATATTCTCAAGCGTACGGGAAAACCAGTTGGCCCATTGCATGGGATTCCCATGACCTTTAAGGAGTGTTTTCACTTCAAGGGATATGATTCCACCAACGGATATATGTCTAGGGTCTTCCAACCGGCTGACCAAACGTCGCCCTTGCCGGAACTCCTACAAGCTGCCGGGGCAGTAGTGATCTCCAAAACGAATGTACCGCATACTATGTTGGTCGCCGAGAGCCATAACAACGTGTTCGGACGCACGAAGAACCCCGTAAACTCTCATTTGACTTGTGGTGGTAGTAGTGGCGGCGAGGGTGCAAGTCAAGCCTTCCGATGCAGTGCACTAGGTGCCGGGACCGACGTCGGTGGGTCGGTACGAATACCAGCTGCTTGCAACGGCGTCTATGGGTATAAACCTACCTTCGGGGTCATTCCCATGATTGGGTATTCGTACTCAGGCTGGACAGGTTCCAACACAGGAATTCCAGCCGTTACAGGCCCTTTAGGACACTCGGTGCGCGACCTTGCCCTTTTTACGCGCATAGTCAGGGATGCGAAGCCGTGGACATTCGATCCGGCCGTCATACCGCACATCATGGAGATCGGTACCCCAGCGACGCGAAAGCCCATTATCGGCATCATATATGCCTCAGGTCTCACACCACATCCACCGGTTCGTCGAGCGGTGCGCGAAGCCGTAGCTAAGCTATCCGCCGCTGGATTTGAAATTCGCGACTTCCACCCGCCAGACTTCATTGGGATCCGTGACATCTCGGAGCAGCTGTTCACGCTAGACGGATTGTCGTATCCGCGACAAGAATTCGCCAAGACGGGTGAGCCTATCGTACCAAGTGTAAAGAAGATTGGTTTCTGGGATATCCCACCCAAGACACAGGAGGAGACATGGATGTGGAATACCAAGAAGCTAGGAGTCCAGAAGCAGATTCTAGACGAATGGCAGAGAGTTGGCTGCGATGTGCTGCTAACGCCGGTGGGCCCGCATACAGCGGTTAAGCCTGGAGACTGGACGAGCGATATCTATACAGTTGCTTGGAATGTCGCCGATGTAGGTTTCTCACATATCTTGATTCTTCCCTTCCCTGGAGAAATCCACATGATGCGTACAATATTGTGTTGACGAGCTCTAACCAAATTCGTACTCACCTCCACAGTACCCTGCAATTGTTATACCATTTACACACGTCGATCCGGCTCTTGATCCGGTGGATGTCGAATTCAAACCGAGACATGAAGCCGACCAGAAGAATCAAGATATGTGTATGCGATCTCAACTTTCTCAAGTTCGTGGTTATGAAGTTGGAATGCTAACGAAACGATAATTCTAGATGACCCAGAATTGTTCATGGGGGCGCCTGTGGCGTTGCAATTAGTTGGCCCGAGATTAGGAGACCAGCAGCTGCTTTATGACGTCGAACTAATCGACGGCGTATTGAATGGAGCTGCCTAACGGTCCTAACCTCGAGCCTTCTTTATTTCGGTCTGAAACGAAATTAGAGTTCTTCGTCCAATGCTGAACAACGACCATTAAACCTTAAAACGCTCTTGGTACCTATTTCAACACTGAGTACCGACATACTGTAGGTAGTGCCTGTGTGTGGGGCCGTGCCTGCCTAAACCACCAGACTTACAGGCTGAAGTTACAGCAAGCTCCAGAGTAGGTGCTGTTACCTATTTAGAACAAACTTAGCAATCGTATTCCCAACTACAAGCCCCCGGTAGTCTAGTTGGTTATGGCGTTCGGCTGTAATTGTTCAAGATTGTTACCGAAAAGTCACCGGTTCGATTCCGGTCTGGGGGATTATTTTTTGGCTCTTTTCCCAAATATCATTGTGTGTGATGTTAGTGTAGTATATCTAGGGTATATCTGGGGTCAGGGTTGGCAAGTAAATCGTAACTTGAAGGTAAGATATATGTGTATTGGATTGAAGGATTATCATAAGAGACTTTGCGTCATATCAAATCACATTCGAAACAACTTGGAACATGTATCATGGATACTATCCGGTAGTACCGTAGTAGTCTATAATCTCCAGACTCCAGGACTACTTATACTTAGCATGTGCTACTTTCTAGGTTATATTAACTAATGGAGATCCACTCGGATATAGTCGACTCCGGGGTCTATCAAAAGTTATCAATGGTTGTCGATGGTTATCAGCTTCCTATTTTCCGCGTCATAACCAGAGTAAACCTCCTTGGCGCATCAGACCATTGTACCATGGCATTGCCCTAAAGCCATCGCAGCAGTGCTGAGAACTAGAGATGATCTAGCATGTTGTCACCAGATCATGTTCAGCATCCACACTGGCGCATGTTCATGATTCAGAACAATGCATATAGAGTTTTCTCTACTCTTAGTCCAGCTATCCGTTATGTGCTAGCTTTACGTGATGATGTCTTCATCAGATGTTCGTTGTTTGAAGAGCAAATACACAAGTAGATAGATAAGGAAAAGGGAGAGGTGATACTTGTTATAAGACGCCGTGGAAGCTTACACCACACCCTCTCGACGAGCCTTTTTCTTCATCAGACCGAGAAAATTTAATACAAACCAACGAACTCTACTAGCCTCCGGTAGCACACTTAAAAAGCAAATATCAAGAGTCCAGAAAATTCCAAAAATGCAAATTTTCGCCCTTCTCGCGACATTCGCGGCCATCCTCTGCCAACTCTGCCATGCTGGATATACCCCGATAGTCGGGGCCTTAGCCCCCTGGAAGGTCACCAGCATCCAGATCAGAACCCCATCTATGCGGCGCCCTGGGCCTATCGCCGTCGACCTCATCATAGAAAACCCAAATTCAGCCGACGCGGGGACGCGGCCGCACGCCGAAGGCGGGGGGTATTTTACCTTCGACCCAAGCAACGCGAATTGCACCATCACTACCCGAGGCCACCACTGCACAGAGACCACGAACAACCTGTATAGCACGTGGACCATCGGCCTGTCGCATCCCCTCAATATCACACGCAGAGGAGGTGGTGGCGGTGGTGGCTTTCCCTTCGACCCGCGGAACATAGGCCTGAAGTTCACACTCACATACAACATGACCCGCATGGACTCTGCCTTGTACAAGGTGTACGAGGGTATTGGCCATTTTGGCGTCGGCCTGAACCTGACGCAGGGTGCCTGCGACTACACGGGCGGCACGTGCATGATAGGTCTAGCAAGCAAGAATAAGCCGTTGCTGATTTTCCCCAAGTTGAAGGCTTGCCAGGGAACTTGTGCAGTGGGTACTTGAAGATTGAAGAGACGAGATGAGACGAGACAAGACAAGACAAGACAAGATGAGAAGAGAATATCGATGCTGTTAATACTTAATACCTACCAGGGCGTAGGTGTCTAATTATTGGTTACATTAGTAGTTGGTCATACCTTGACGGGTATTTATATGGGACAAATGGGAAGGGGGAGTTTTCTGTGTATCTTCGGATACGATTAGCCATGCTTATTGGTGGTAGTGGTGGTTGGTGACGGGCCTGAGTTGGGTTGGGATGAAATCTATGATTGCACGACTTTTTTTATTATTCAGATTAGTTAGTTATTCATACAAAACTCTACAACATAAATAACTAGTTATATTTCGGTCCACTATTCCCGTGATCCATTATTGATTAGATAATTAAGTAAACTTGTTACGACATAGTAAATCTGGTGCAAGCTTTATCGATATCGGCCTGGCTATGTACCTAAGCTCCCTCAAGCTCTTTTGTTGTTGCATTTTATATTTTATATTTTACCTATTTTTATCTTCTTCTTTTCTATGCCCTCCCTTTTTCAAATACCCTCCTTCACATGACACGCCAGTATTTGAGATGAGAATCAAGGGAAAGCCACTTTGGATGCTAATTAGTGATGTTCATTTCAAATCTTTCGACCTCGACCGGATTATCCGTACAACGAATTGGATTAACTCCTTGCCAAATTCATATAACATCTCCCGTGCTATCATCTGCGGCGATCTCTTCACAACACGCACTTCCCAGCCCACTCACGTGCTTTCAGCATGTTACCGCTTCTTAAACAAGTTGGTAGAAGCCGTGCCACATGTGAACATCATTCTGGGCAATCATGACCTAGCCTACCGCCTCGATTATACTACTTCAGCCTTGGAAGCACTCTCTATTAGTCGGCTATCCCCATTTGTGACCCTGCATACAGAAATAGGATGTCATGAATGGGATGGAAGGCATGTGTTTGTAATGCCCTTCCGTGATGACCAGAGTCAGATTATCGATTCCGTTCGTGATCTGGATCCCAAGTACGCGGCCACGGCGGTGGGGTTTGGCCATCTAGCTATAAATCGGGCCATAACCCAGAAGTATGTTGTCAAGTCCGAGACGGGAAAATCAAGTTCACCTATAAGGTACCCCGGACTTACCGGCGCAAGTAATTTTGCACCTCTGGCAAGGACTTTCACCGGGCACTTTCACAGTCACCAAACCATTTTGCAGGCCGAGAACAAGCAATCGGGAGATCTTCAAGGAAGCATAACATATATCGGGGCACCTTTACAGCTAACGTGGGCAGATCTATTTGACACCCAAAAGGGGGCCATTCTTCTCGACCCTGAAACCTTGGAGCATGAACTTATTAGTAGTCCATATGCCGAAGGTTACACGGCTGTCGACGTAGAAGATGTGCTCGCGGAAAAGCTTCAGGATGAACAGGTTCAGAACAAGCATGTCATGGTTCTGGGGAAACTATCGAGGCACAAATACATCTCTGCTAGAGATAGTCTTGCAAAGCTAGGAGCACGCAGTGTGAGGGATTGGAAGCCCTTTGAGCCAGAATGGACAGCATCACACTCTGGTCTGGGAAAGACTATGCTCCCTATTGATATGCAAAGTCAATCAGATCAAAATGCAGCAAAGATGCTAGAGGCAAAGAAAAGAGCTTCTGAGATCGATGAGCCTAGATTTACGGCTGGGAAAATAGAGCGGGAATCAATCAACTTAGACGAAACGGTGGATGAGTATTTGTCCTCTCTGACATTTGACTCTACTCTAGAAGAGAGGAAACAGATCTTGACTGTTGTGGGAAAACGACTTGTGAATATCGGTAATCTTGTCCATGACAAAACTAGCTCTACAGTCAAGTATAGGGACATGCTTGACTTATCAACACCAGCTACGGTTATCCCTTCGAGCGACGCCCCAAACGCAGCCATGGCCCAAACCATTTTTGCCGCACACCCTGTTTCTGTCGAAATCACGAACTTCCTTGGTGTCCAGGGAACCCTCAATCTCGAATTCAAGAAACACTTCGTACCAGGCGTAAACTTCATCGTGGGCCACAATGGGGCGGGGAAGAGCACCATCATTGAGGCAATGGTCTGGTGCCAGTTCGGACAGTGTATTAGAGATGGACTTGGAGTAAACGATGTTGTCAACGACGTTGTCAAGAAAAATTGCAATGTCCGTCTGACATTTGCGAATGGGTATACTATCTCACGATCCCGAAATCATAGCGAGTTTCAAAATCGAGTGATTGTGGAAAAAGATGGTATAATCCAGTCGCAATTTGAAGGGCCTAATACCAGAAGTAGCCAAGCATCTATCAACGAATTGCTAGGAGTTGAATTCGAAACATTCATCAGAACAATATTGTTGGGCAACGAAAGCACGCGAAGCTTCTTGAGTGCCTCGTCAATACAAAGGAGGCAGTTGACCGAGACAGCATTGGGTTTAGGGATTTTAGACCGATGTGCAGAGGCCTGCAATTCCATGTTAGGCCAAGTTGATGAAGAATTAAACCAGAAGAAGTCAGAACTAAGAGAAGTTACACATACCCTTGTGCATCTGAAAGGTCGAATGAAACAGATGGGAGGAGTGCCAAGACGTCTACGGAGCGAAGGATCATCTCTCGCCAGTCAAATGGACCGCGAGGAAAAGAATCATATCGCCTCCTTGAACGAGAACAGTCTTCGGGTGATCAAGTTGCAGAAGGCCCTTGCGGCCGAACTGCCTTTGTCTGCTCTCGAACCAGAGCTTTCAGATGTCCAGGAACAATTGTCGTGGGCACAGGCAGAGGTCAGCAAAATTGGCGACCTAGCAAGGCTTGCCCAAGCACGTTTATCTATTGATCGTGAAGGTGCTACTATCAAACAAGAAATAAAAACTGCCAGCTCATGGTTTGATGAGCTTGAGAAAACCCTTGAGCGTCTAGTTGGGGAGAACGATGCATTGGAGATTCCAGTGTCACTCATTGATGAGGAACGTAACAAAAACAAACATGACGAAAATAAGGGGGCAAGTGACGACCAAGGCTTCTTACCGAGCGTTTCACTTTTCTTTGGCATGCTTTGGGAATCAATTCTGAAAGTTATAAACTTCATAGAATCCAAGATAGCAGCAAAGGCTATCGCCAGGGCTAGAGAAGTTGAGCGACAATGGAATGGCCATGTAGCAGCTATATTCAGTCTTTCCGAAAGCGCTACTAAATCACAATTTAAGGTGAATGCTATAAGGGACAGAATAGCCACCTTTCCCCGCGATATCGCCAGACAGAACTCAATTAGCGAAGATGATGTGCATACTATTCTAAGGGATTTCACAGTCCAAGAAGCATTGCGAATTCCTAGCCAGCTTAGTGCTGCTATTGCTGAACTAAATGCTCTCCAAAAGAGAGATGAACTTTTGCGACGCAATTATGAAAGCCATCGGCAAAAGCTTCTTCGCAAGCAGCACGATCTCGAGGGATATCAAAAGGCTATAGATGTGGCAAGAAGGCGCTGGGAAGCGTCCTTGGATCGCTATGAAATAATGCTTTCCAGCAGAGAGCGAGAAATCTCTACATATGAAGCACAGCTCAAATCCGACGCTGAGTCTCTTGCCAAACTCAGCCATCAGGCTGCTACACTTGGTGAAGAAGCTGCGAGTATACATTCCCATCGAGAAATATTCGCCTTCTGGCAGTCTTCCTTTACACGTCGTCAAGTATCAGCGTCAAAAGCTACGTTCCGTCGATACGTCACCGAGCGACACCTCGGAGAGTTGAACAAACTCCTGGGGCAGATTCTGATGGTCATGTACCAGGACGCGAACTATGCGCGTAACATGACGAAGGGTACTATCGGGGCACTATTCAAGGAAGACCACGATGAAGACGAAGGCTACGGTAGCAGTAGTCAGAAGTCTGCTTCGGTGCTCGAGCCTTCGCTGTCGATCAACCCCTCTCTCGCGTACGCCAAGAGGAGCGGCGGCGAGCGGAAACGCGTGGACCTCGCGCTCTTCTTCGCGCTTTTTATGATGGGCGAGGCGAGGAGCCCACACATGGCTGGGTACATGCTTGTAGATGAAGCCTTCGATAGTCTGGACGATGCGGGCCAGGCCTCGGTGCTCAAGTGGTGCCGCTGGATGACAGAGCGGCTGGCCTACGTGTTCGTCATCACCCACAACCGGAGTCTGGTTCGTCTTGCCGAGAAGGAGGGCGATGCGGAAAATGGCGTGGGGGCGAATGTTGTCACGGTAAAGGCAGGGACTGAAGGAGTCGAGTTGGTGGCGGAAGGAGATCAGGCTTTGTAGGTGATACCCACCTGCATTGGCCTTATAGTTTAAGCTTGCCCGGTACGGGAGCTTTTCATGACGTGTAAGCGTTATTTATGTGTACCTGGATAATCCAGTACGTGAAGGCCTCACGCACCAATGGGCCAAGAAATTTTGTATAGTACCAATATACCCACTCATCCCTTCAAATTGGCGACGTCTTACAAACACATGTAAACATGATGACAACCTTGAACAAACACCTACCTACATAGGCACCTACTAACATGTCATCAAGTTACCTTAGGTGCGAGATCCGGTGTAGACCCTGGACTATTGACACACCTCTCTTGTACCAAGCAGTCATGTGCCTCTGGTTCTTTTTCCCGTAGAGATTCCTTAAAGGTGCCCAAAGGTGTCAATAGTCTAGAACCGGCCGAGGTAAACTCGATCTGTAAAACAAATAATGACAGAAGAGCTTATGAAGTGAAAACTTACCGCGTTCACATCCAAACGGGGCTTAAGCGCCCTAACCGAAGGTGCTCCATGCCACTTAGCCCAGTAACTCACCTAGGCAGCTTACAAGAGAAATGACAGCCGCGTCTAGATACCGCCCGATATTGGGGTCAAATTGCTCGGGCGCCTTCTAGACGCCGAGGCGCGCGTCGCTACTACTACTAGCATGCTCAAAACACCTCCGTCGTACTGCCGACGGGCCTACACAGCGGTGGTGCGATGGGGATGTACTACTAGGAGTATGAGATATATTATTACGAAGGACACATTGGATAGGAGAAAGAAAAAAGGGGGAAAACAAGAAAAAAAGCCCCCAAGAGCAAATAATTCATATGGTAAGTGATAAGCCCAAAGCTCTGTACCCGGGTTATGAAGCTGCTGGGTACCCTGGTTTGTACACCGGTTGGGAAAAATACGGAAGAATAGGGGGCTACATCCGGTGGGTGCACAACATGAAGCTCTGGTAACACAGCATTGACAGCTAATATGTAGGTAGGTAGCTCCCAGGCGACCTACCTACCCTTAACATGGAAGATCTTGGGTTTCTCGATGCCGTAGCCAGGGTCCAAGCTATACTTTTCCTGGTAAAGGGGTTGTTGATATCAGGCTGTGAAGGAAGAGTCTGGAAGACAACATTTAAATCCAAGGTGGTGGGACACTCGTAGGTAAGTACCTATGTACTGCTAGTAGTACGTACTGCATGCAACATTGAACTTGAATGTTTATGTAAGCAGCCGAGGTATCTTACCCCTTACATAATCTATACTAACTACTAGTACAACTTTAAGTTAAAGACATTATGTAATTCATTCTAGCGCGGCAAAATCGCATTTACCAAGAAACCGAGAAGCTAATAAGAAAGAAGGAACGAGTTGGGAATGAGAGAAAAAGCATCTGCCGAGTTGGCAATGCCGTATTATTTGGTCCCCACTTCGCCGAACCTGTCCATGGCTCAATTTGGATAGTGTGGAAAAGCCACACTTGATTCCTTTCGTCATGAAAACTCGGCAGTTTTTTCCTTCCTCTCTTTAATCTCTCTTACGTCCCATTCATTCCCGTCACCACCACTATCACCACTATAACCAACAAACCAACAATTAGCAATCAACAAGCAGCAATCATAATTCCGAACGCCTGGTCTACTTAACTACTAGATCTCTTTTCTATGGTCTAGATTCGGCCCACCATGAAACAACACATCTACACTACACAGACAGACAGACAGACAGACAGACACAAAGACGCAAATATAACCTACCTAGTACTTAAGTACCTAAGTCAAAGCAAAAATAGTATTAATCGACTTCTAAAATGAACTATACGAGAACAACGACGACATCATTATTGGTAGTACATACATACAGCGGTCTAAGTTACATTATGCCACCACTATCTGATCTAATAAACATTGAAACTGCCAATTTATACATGTACCGAAACTTACCTAGGTACTGCTATTAATGTATTACGAAACTGGAGACTACACAAAAATGTATCACCTATCATCGCTTTTAAGCTAATGACGTTCCCTAGTTCGTCAGTCATCAAGGAGCCGCATTAGCCCATGAGAAGTTACACTTCTGTTGAGTACCGTGCCACCATGTTTGATGTTTGGCTAAGGCTGCTCTTGTTCACCTCAGCGGATATGGCATCCCGGCGGCTCTGAGGTTTATCTAATGTAGGGGTAATATTTACTCCTATCCTCATAGTTCTTCAAGTAGGTAGGTAGCTACCTACGTAGCTTCCCGAGAAGGCAACCGTATCACAGATACCGCCTCGTAGGGAATAGCATACACCGGTCGATCACTAACGGGTCTGACCCGAAATGTGGCATATACTCCGAGCTTCACGGCACTGTTATTTTGTCTGACTATAACTGCAGAATCATTGGACTGTCCATCTGCCGAAACCGCGTTTAATACAGCCCCAAGTGCAGCTCAAGCTATTCACATGTCTAACCCACTTGGCAGCCATGGGTTTTGCTATCATTTCCAACTAATCTTGCACTAACCAGGCCCTTCTTCTCCCCCGCTCTCCTTCTTTACTATGTAGTTGGCCGAATTCCATGGGCCCCTTTTCCCCCATCAGTGGGTCGGCGGGGTCCCCAGAGGCTTGGGTCCCTGGTTAAACCTAGCTTGTCGTCACTTTTGACCTGAACCTCAAAAGCGGGTGCGGGAGAACCCTCGTAGGGGCCGAAGACGCGAAGGGGCTGGTTCGGCCTACGTCCAAGGCACCGCATTGCGATACAAGTGTATCGGTTTTATATATCGTGTAGCTATTAACATGTACAAGTGTATCTTTATTTCGTCCTGTAACTCTGTCATTACCCTCTCTCCCAAACGAGCCAGCCGCAGGTACCGAGAATTATCTCCCACCATCGAAACACCATTACAGCACGCCGACCTGATTCCAATATATACTACCCACCTTGGCAGACATTATCAGCTGTTCCTAATACTCGGCTTGTGGTGTTGCTCCTTTACAAAATTTCTACAAAGCCATAGAAATTTTCTGAATCGTTTTCCCTGATCGCCGACTACTTACATCGATAAGTAAGATAACTAACTCCATAGGTTTCAACAACCTGGGGCTCTCTTCTTTCGCCTTTCGCCTTCAGGGACCGGGAAACTATTATCTTCAACCCAAATAAGTCCTGGCTCTTTACACGAGAGTTGATGAATCCCTGAGGCAACGATGAGTCTCGGGAATTCCGTAATTGGGAGTCTCATAGCTCAGTTTTGGCTTCCCATATCCGTATCGGTGATCCTTGTGTGGCTAGTCAAGAACCGATACCACAATGGCCTTAATAAATACCCAGGCCCTTTCTTAGCTTCATTGACCGATTGGTGGCGGTTTTGGGATGTCTACGGTCAACGGCCTGAAGTAACACATCAGAAACTACATGCAAAGCATGGCGATGTCGTGCGCCTAGGGCCCAATACGTTGTCGTTCGCAGACCCCAAAGCCCTCAAGTCGATATATGGCCTCAACAAGGGATTCGTCAAGGTATGAGCTACGTGACATAGCCCTATCTAATGAGGACCGCGCAGACTAACGCTCTCTACTTAGTCCGAATTCTACGTTGTCCAACAGTCAGTAGTCAAGGGACACTCTTTGGCTTCGCTGTTTAGCACAACGGACAACACCTTCCACGCGCAGTTTAGACGATGTGTCAACTCGGCATTTGCCATGTCGGCGTTGGTACAATATGAGCCCTTCGTTGATAATACGACGAAGATCTTTCTTGAGCGAACCGAAGAGCTCTTCGCTGATAACCCAAAGGGATGTGATTTCACACAATGGTTACAGTTTTACGCCTTTGACGTGATTGGAGAGATTACTTACAGCAAACGCCATGGATTTATCGAGAAGAATGAGGATATCGATGGTATCGTTGGTTACTTGGGAAACCTGTTTCTATACGTCGCACCGGTAAGTTGGATTTCTAGATATTGAAGCTGAAGAATTGCTAACATTAGACAAGATTGGTCAAATTCCGTGGCTTGATCTCATCTTCCTGAAGAACCCCATTTACCTGAAGCTCTCCCAATGGGGGTTTATTGATTCAACTTTCCCCGTAGCTCGCTTTGCGCGAGCACGTATGGCGGAACGTCTCGGCCCAAATCTTTCAGGCGACCCCTCAAAGCCACTTCTACCTGTTTCCACTGAGGGTAAGGCCTCGGTGAAGTCTCCCGATTTGTTGTCTAAATTCCTTGCCGCGCGTGAAAACCGTCCCGATTTTATGAATGATACTTTGGTGCAAACCATGGCCGTGTCGATGGCCTTCGCCGGTTCTGAAACTACCGCCATTTCATTAGCCAGCGTGTTCTATTATCTTCTCCGTACCCCATCCGCACTCGCCAAACTGAAGCAGGAACTCGATGAGGCCTCTCGATCCGGTCTCTTCAGCGACTACGAGACAGGACTGGTAACTTGGACCGAGAGCCAGAAGCTCCCGTATCTTGATGCTTGTATTAAGGAAGGGTTCCGCATGCACCCTGCCGCTGGCCTCCCGCTCGAACGCATTGTCCCTGAGTCTGGCGCGGAAATCGCCGGCCACTACGTTAAGGGCGGAACTGTCGTCGGCTGCTCAGCGTGGATCATCCACCGCCGCCCAGAAATCTGGGGCGAGGACGTGGAAACGTACCGACCCGAGCGCTGGATCGTGGACGCAAACCTAAAGGGTGAAGCGAAAGAAGAGCAGGAACGGCGGATCCGCGAGATGAACGGCATGATGTTCCAGTTCGGTATGGGATCCCGCACGTGCATTGGCAAGAACATCAGCTTGCTGGAGATCTACAAGGTCGTGCCAAGTCTACTAAGACGCTTCGATGTAAGTTCACCCCCTCTTCTTTCCCCTTGAGTCGATCGTACCGGGAATTGTTTCGAAAGTCATGACACTAATCAATGCTCTCTGCGCCCATATACAGATCAGCTTCAAGGACCCCAACCAGGAGTGGAAACTCATCAACGCCTGGTTCGTCAAGCAGAACAACTTCCAGGCCATCTTCAACCTGCGGAACATGGTGAAACCCGACAGCGGGAAGGAGCCTAGCGAGAAGACGCACTAGAAAGGTACCTAGTCATCTCTTCGTCGTCGTGTGTAAGATCCGGGTTCGGGATCGGCGTTGGCTGGCTTGTTTTGTTTTGTTTTGTTTTGATATTGTGCTATGTTACCTAGGGTACAGTAGCTTTAGTAGGTGGGCAGGTTATCTAGGTACGGTTATGTAAGTTGGCTTGCACCGGCGGCTGCTTAGGTAGACAGCACTTGCTTGACGAGGTGTGTCCCCTGGGTAGTTTGGTATCGTACGTACGTACGTATCGTATGTATGTATGTGTGTGTGTACACTCCTAGGTTAGGTCTCTTTCGTGAGACCCTCGCCAGAGCTGCTGCTGGTTTGCTGCTGCTGCTGCTGCTACGTAGTATGTGTATAGGTTAGGTATATATCGTCTACTGACCTACGTAGTAGGCAAGCTCAGGATATAATAGACTTTTTACGCACGCAATCCTTTTTTTTTTTTCTTTTTTTTTTTTTTTGGTTGTTAAGAGATACTGCCTCCGTCCCTCCCTGCCTAGGTATTCGAGATTAATCGTTGGATGTTCTTCTGAATTTACAGTACCTAACCTTGGAGTAAGAGGCGTGTAATATACTACTAACCTAAAACAATACGGCGTGATCCAGGGATAAACATCAGATACTAAGCATACTAGCCGTTAGGATCTATCGTATGCCTTGAATGCCCAGATCTCAAGGTGTAGGTACCTAGGTAAGTCGATAGAAACGTAGTGTCGATGAATCACAGGACAGCACTTAATTATCATGGAGTTTTGCAGAATATCAAAACGACCAGCATTTATGAGGAAGGAAAAAGGGGGGTATCGTCCATTGCAACTAGACTACTACTACTACTTCTAATCAATATGAGTAGAAGAGTCCGTCTTTTTTTTTTCTTTTTTTCTGGAAAAAAAGATCGAAATCAACAGATCGAGTAGGTTACCTAGGTAGGTAGGTTAATAAGGAAAAACCCTCCAACATCACGTCACAACTTGCCACGTCCATACGTCCATCTTTCTCGTTCGTACATTGTGCGTACACAATCCTGTCCATCCGACTCTAACACGAAAACCCCCCAACTGTTTTCGTGGAGCAACCGCCCACAGTATCTGACCTCCCCATGAGGGGAAAAAAACAAGGAAAAAAATGAAGATTCATTAAAAGACGTTACGTATCTGATTTTCTTTCAAAAATGACAGCGAATACCCATCCCATCGTCGATCTGCGTGGCGGACAAGACGTAAATAGGATAAAGCGAGTAAGTAAGAAGTATGTGCAATAGGCATGTTGCTATCCACAACAAGAACCAGAGCCCATAAGGTGTGACTCTGGGTAAATTAAATGGGGTTGGCATCTTCGTCTACTGTAGGTAGACCGGCCATGGGTAATATGAAAATAGGAATCGAGACTTTGAAAGAATAGGAGACAGTTAAGGCATTTGGTTAGCATCGGTGATGGCCTGGAGCATGCTGTGGTCAATGTTAGCATCTTAACCCAACCAAATATCAGGACGATAAAGGCAACTTACCGTCGGTTTCGGTCGCTCATTTCATCATCAATGGCCCTCAGGCCTTTGAAAGAAAGATTACATTGCGCTAACTATTAGAAAACACGAGTCAGCAATGGTTTAGCGGACAAGATTGGTAAATATGTTTGAAATCCGAGGGGTCTTGCCACTAGCAAGTGAAATTGGTAATAAAGGGGTACTGCGCACCGCGCTTATCGCAGCCGAGGAATGATCAGGCTCCTCACCTGCCGCCGCAGAAGCTTCCGAATCGATGCCATTGTCCGCAAATCTACTTGCCGCAAGGCCTTTCTTGTCCGTCATCTGAGATGCGACCTTGGCCTATCGTCTAATTAGCACGTTCTCACATTTAATAGTCTTCGCAGATCAACAGATCGTTGGGGCAGGGCAACATACGAGTGCTTCGGCGATTTCTGCGTCCTTAACCCTCAACTGTGCTTCCATCTCCGCCCATCTCGATTTGATCTCAGCAGTATCTTTTTCGACTTTCTCTCTCTTCTTCTGCTCTTCTTCGGCTATGGTGCTGAGATTGTCATACATGTCCTTATAATCGGCTTCCTGGTTTTTTAGCTTAGCATCCGCATCGTTTTTATGTGCTTCGAGGTCTTTTTGCGCAATGAGGACATCTTGCTTAGCTGCCTCTAGTTGTTCTTTGAGTGCATCAAGCTCAGCCTTGGTCGTGTTCGAATCTTTCTGCAATCGCTCCAGATCATCCAAGGCTTTGGCTGTTGCTTCCTGAGCTTGGGCATGGGATTTTCGAACTTCATCGAGTTCTGTTTTTAGGGAATCTACGAGAGACGTGTCTGGCTTACAGTTTTTCTGGGCGTCGAGTTCGGCCATGAGTTCCACATTGTTCATCTTAGCCTCTGCGAGTCGTTGGTGCAAGTCTTCATAATCTTCCTGGATCTTAGCGAACTCGGCGTTCTTCGTTTGGGCCTCGGCCAGTTCGGTTTCAAGGGTCGCGGTTTGCTCCTGGAGCTTGGATAGGGATTCTTTGGCAGTGGCTAGGGCGGCCTCGTGTTCGGCGGCGGCAGCGGAGTGTTTGGCAACATCGGAAACTACGGCGGAGAGTTTGCTTTCGTGCTCCTTGGTCAAGTCCTCAATCGCTTGGGCATGCTTGACTTCAAGAGCCTCAAGCGCTTCCTTGTGGGCACCGGATGCGTTATTCTTCGCGGCTTCGATGGCCTCGGATTGCATGGTTATTAATTTCTCGACTTCGATCGCGTGCGCATCCTCGATCTCTACCTTGACAGCCTCGATAGCAGCTGCGTGACTAGCCTCAGCCTCCTGGAGTTTCGCTTGTGCGGCTTCAACTGCCGCCTTCATAGCTTCTAGTTGGGCCGCTTGGGCATTCGCGTCAGCCTCCTTGGCGGCGAGTTCTTCAGCGTGGCTAGCCTTGACTTTCTCGAGCTCTGCATGTACTTCTCCGAGGGTCGCCTTCATTGCCTCTAACTGCTCTGTATGGGCGCTACCAGCAGATTCCTTATTGGCAAGCTCTTGTGCATGAGCAATCTTCAATTCGGCGATCAAGGTCTCCAAGTCATGTTTCTGAGACTCGAGTGCTTCGGCATGGGCTGCCTTGATAGCCTCTAGTTCCTTGGCGAGCGCTGCTTCACTCTCCGCCTTGGTAATCTCGATCTGTTGCGCATGGCTAGCCTTCAAGGACTCGAGTGCAGCTAGTTGGGCCTCGTTGTCGGCGGAGAGGCCACTCTTAACACTTTCTAGCTCCATGGCATGGCTGGCTTGCAATGCATCTAACGCCTTTTGGTGATCTGCTTCCTTGGCAGAAAGAGCCTCGATAGAAGCTTCATGTGCGGCCTTCGAAGCCGTCAACTCCTCCGTGTGCTTCTCAACGTCCGTCGAATGCGTCCTAGTCAACTCGTTAAATTTAGATCTCAGCTCACTGTGCTCCTCCTCGAGGACCTGGAATTTGCGCTTGAAGAAAGCGTCACCTTTCAGGCTTTCAATTTCTGTTTCGTAGTCTTGAGAGACTTGTTTTAGTTGGTTCTCATGTGTTTCCTCGGATACCTTGTGCTCTTGCCTCAACCTTTCAATTGTCTCCTCCATCTCTTTGATTTGGCTGGCAAGATCTGCGCCAGAAGATGCATTCTCCTTAGCCTGTGCCAGTTCCTCCTGCAAGGTGGCAAACTCGGTCTGAATCTTGGCCAATTCCTCTTTTGTAGCATCGACGGCAGCGAGGGCCTCTGCGAGTTTGGTCTTAACCTCCTCCAACTCTGCCTGCGACGCCGCCAACGCAGCCTTGTCTTGTTCGGCTGCAGCCTTGAGTTCTGCTAGTTCAGCTTCTAGTGCCGAGATCTTGGAGGTGGTAGCAGCGCCTTCGTTCTCAGTTGAAGAAGTGAGCTCGTCAATCCTTTTTTGTAGAGATTCATTGGCGGCTTTTAGTTCCTCGAGGGCCTTGTTATGCTCGGATGAAGATGCTTTGCTTCCATCAAGTTCGGCTGCGTGCGAGGCCTTGAGAGCCTCGACGACGGCTTGATGCTGTTCGTCTAACGATTTTCGAAGTTCTTCCAGCTCAGTGGCATGATCCTCAGCCGCCTTGGTGCCAGCTTCCTTGTCAAGTTGGAAGGACTCAAGCTTACTCTGTAGACTCTTAATCTCGGTGTCCTTGCCACCTTGAGATGTAGTCAGCTCAGCTAGCTGCATTTTATGAGCCTCCAATTGCTCCTCGGCGGCCTTGAGCTTCTCGAGGGCTTCAGCGATCTGCGCATGCAGTGTTTCCTTTTCAGAGGCATGGGTCGACTTCAGAGACTCCAACAGCTCCTCGTGTTGGTGTGCAGCATCATTGGCGCCCTGGACACCATTTGTTGCAGAATTTATCTTTTCCTCGAGCTCGGTCACTTTGCCTTGAGAAGAAGCAGCCTGCTCTCTTAATGACTCAACTTCTGACTCTTTCTCGGCAAGCTTGGTTTTCAAGTCCTCAATTTCTCTCGCCGTTGCAGAGGCCGTAGAAGAGGTAGATGGGCGAGCTATATGTCTCGCTGTAGAGTTGTTTGACCCAGCAACGCTAGACATTCGTTTTCTCGCTTCTGTGCTACTACCAAGACCAGCCCGACTAGTCGTCGGAGATCGAGTCGATGTGGGGCCTGTGGACGATGCTGGCTTCGTGGTGGTACCGGATCTTGAGCTGATGGTACTGGTTGCTGGCGAAGGCTTCCTTGCAGTAGTAGTGCCAGACATTCCCGGTTTTGTGTTAGCTCTTCCAGGCGAAGAGGTTAAGCTACTCGGTACAGTCGAGGTTCGACGTGCTGCAGAAGTCATGGTAGACCTTCTTTTCTCATCCTCTGATACAGACGGCTGGGATCTATGATTGGCAATGGTGCCCGAGGGCTTCTTGATAGCAGTTCCGACGGGAGGACGGGTGGGAGGCTTGCTCAGGGAGCCGCTGGCGCGAGCTGCCGAAGAGGCGGTGCCCTTGGAGGCAGTACCGGCAGGGCGGCGAGCAGTTGTGGTAGCAGCCGATCGCTTCGTGGTAGCACCATTGCTAGACTTGGGCGAGGACTCAGTCAACCCAGTACCTGCAGTGCCTGCGGTCTCCTCGCCTGAGAGAATCGACTCATCGTGCTGGACGACCTCAAATCCTTCAGCGTCAGACATGATTCTAGTAATTCGCGAAGTCAAAAAAGAATTATATCAAGGGGGGTATATGTGTAGGTATGTATTGAGAAGGTTTGTCAAATGCTTTTCAAGTCGAAAAAACTTGGTAACACTAATAATACAAGTTCCATTAGCTTCAAAAGTTCACTTCTTCGGATTATTCAAATCACAGTTGATCATTATGGATGAAAGTTGGTGTAAATAAGGTTGCACGACGCTTGGGAGCAGTACGCATAAATCCGCATTGACGGAAAAGCGATTAGTGCTGTAAGCATGTATCATTCGCAGACATCGACACGTCACAAAAGGGGGGGGTTCAAGCGCCGTGGTGATGGTGGTAGTGTAGTGGTGGGCTGAATCGGGTATTGACTGACCTTGTCTTGCCAACTCCTTTTTTTTCCTTCGTTTCTTTTGCCCCTTAAGTCGTGTTTCTCGTTTGCCTTGTTTTGTACAGTACCGGTATTAACCAATTGAGCGCCCCAACTGAATCAGACAAATACCAATACACCGATCCGCACAAGACGCAGTACCTAGGATTGACGATGTGGTTTGGGTGGCTAGGCAAAGTCAATGGTCAATGGCGAAGCAAGGAATGAAATGTTGTCCTTCACGAGGCAAATACCGCGTTGGATCCTTTTAAGAAAAGAAAGTGGCCGAAATGGGGGTGGGTGGTTGGAGAGGTGTGGAAGGATGGAAAGGTGAGAGAGTGCAACGGGTGCAACGTCCAAGATTTACTTCAACCAATTCCCCCAAGACCGCCACAAAAAGGCCGACTTCCAACTGTCTAAGCAACCTTCAGGGCTTGCTCTAAACCCCGATAGGCAATCTCGTTGGAGGGGAATCACCTACCATCAGGCCTATCACAGCGTTTTTAACAGGGGTTATTACAGGGGGTCATGGCGGGTCAACTTTCATTGAGCAATAAAAACTCTAGGCTCACGACGAGCCATTGACCTGTGCTTTTCTTGTACCCCGCTCTGACCACCAAGCGATCCCGCCAATCTCATTTATAAACACTAATGAAGCTACCCTAGGTAGGCACCCTAGGTAGGCACCCTAGGTAAGTACATAGGTCACTGCTACCTTCAGGTACTGACTCTACTGAGAGCGCTACTACACAGGGGAACAGCTGCTTACTAGGTAGACAGCTTGACACAAGGTTCAATGTTGTGCACTACAATACCGATACCGTACCGTTGGGAACGGTTTCTAGAAGCCTTAGGTAGGTACGCGCGAAGCCTACATAGTACCCTAACATTAGGTAACTTAATGTATTACATATTATTAGGTACATATGTAGGTAGGCGCTATTTAGAGCACTACTATTAGATGGTTACTAACAGTTAACAATTATGTAACAATTAATTTACTTCTTACACCAATGTCGACGGTGCAGTTCAGTTGACATTCAAGGACATCAAATTGAACGAAAAGGAGATGGAAGTTTGAATCGAGGCAAACGCAATATGTACATCTATCTCACTAACCTAATGTGGTGTAGCATTCACGTGTATTCTCCGCTGCTTTCCCCATTTCTTTTTCTTTTTGCATCTCAGATAATAAAATGATATAACTACCTAGGTACACATGTCGGTATGTAGATAGTAGATACCTACTAGGTAATGTATGCACTGCCGATTTTGTACTCAAATGCTTTTGTATAGTAATACCTACATGGCTGTTTACATGTTGATCTATCATCTATGTGCCCAGTCATCCTAACTTATGTAGTTACATAGGCAGGTATTGATACGAAGTGCGCCAATTCAACAATAATAAGATCAGAGCATTACATATGCCATCCAGCGGATTCCAGCCATCCTCACCTCATTTCAGTGGATACTGTTGTCTCCTACGGAGTAGTCCAAGCCAAATTCATCATGAATATCCATCATAAACCAGCAAATGACAACCCAAAGCACCCCCATCTCCCCGTTTATTCGCCTGCTAATATAAATAACTCACAAAGCTCGGTCTGCAGAGATATCTATGGTTCTATGGGTGTCTCCATTGATCCATTCATGGATAACTACATACATGTAGGTCCCTACCTCGTACCTACTTAGTAACCTCGTACCTACACAAACGCTTCCAATGCATGCATTGTGTGCCTAATGTATCTGGAGCCACCATTCATGCCGTAGGGATAAGGTTATGGCCTACATATGTACAATACATACCTATCATCCATACCTACTACGGTGACCTACCTAGTAACCTTAGTACATTATGTATAATCGATCCAGCTAAGGCATGCAGACTGTATGCAGGTAATCTAATGGCCCCAGCATCCATTAAGCATCCTACACGACAGCGCTAGAAACCTGCTCCAAGTTGCTCCAACCCGTCTCACTACATATTTTCGCGGTCTCGCGCATCTGAGATTCTGAGTAGGTATTCTACATATACATAGCTATGTGACATTGAATGCATCGTCAGGTACTACATATGTAGACAGTACTAGGTAGACTACATACATACCTACTTACATCAAAAGTACACATAGGTATGCACTTCGTACGAAGTATGTAATTACATCCATGTAATAATTGTAAAAGGGGGTGAGGGCTAGCATCTTATGTATGCCCAGGTGCATGCTAATAGCTTTGCACATTTTCAGAACTTGAATCAACTCAATAGAATGGAATACGATGTAGCTATAAAAGTAGCTAAAGCAATGTAATGGGTATCATAAAGTTTGCTTTACAGAATATGATCATGACGTCTAACCGTTCAACTGTCTAACGGTGACTTCGCATACGCCTATATTCATGCATGATCTCTTGAATCTGTGCATCAATATCTTGCGCCGAATCGTTTGGATGCACAGCTTCCAGCATCAGTCCTAATATTTCTTCCGCCATAGCTTCCGTCTCTTCAATGGTTCTGTCAATTTCCCAATGCATCGTCTCTAAATCCGGTAGTCTAGGATACGATTGTTGTATCTCCCGGAAAAGATAGGTCTTCTCTGCTGGAGACCAGGGGTTGGTATCTCGTCGAATACCTAGGGTAGGTTGCGTTTGAGGGGGGCGTCCCTGGGGCGGCCCCTGTGAAGCTGATGATTGCCGCGTAGAGGATGGAGCTGCGGATTCCGATAGTGGTGTGTAAATACCTCTAATCGACATTAGCGATCTCCAGTTCTGCTCTTTGATCGCATGCAATGCTGCCTCTTCCTCCTGCTTTTGTTGGGCTTCGACTTCCTCTTGTCGCTTCAAGTGTTGTTGACGGACTTGCTCTTCTTGAATTCGTCGACTTTCTTCACTTTCAAGCTTGTCTAGGCCACATTCCAGGTCTTGACGCAAGCCATCCAGGAATCCACCGAGCTCTTCTCGCTTCTTCATGTGGGCACGCCATTCCTCTTTTTGATCTTTGGCTCGCTCTTCTGAGCCATCAGATAGTTCTTGTCTCAACCGTCTAAGCAATGGACGATACAGCCGTTCAATCCACCCAAGTGCCCTCGTAAGAAACTCAATCGTGGAAGTCGTAAATACCGCTCTCGGCCGGTTGTTACCACCTAGATGCCACATAGACGCCATGACGCGGAATAGCATTGGGATAGCGAATGAGACTATTTCGCCAAATAATAATTCATCCTGTGTCTCTATGTCATCGTTCGTTAGTGGCTGGTTGGGCCCCCCCTCCACATTTCTTGTTTCCCAGATATGTTTAATCGCATGCTTTATCTTTGAAAAATAGTACCCAATGAGAGCACTATGTTCATTAAGGAACAAATTCTGCTCTCTGAAACGGGGCGCTTTTGGGGCTGCTTTGATCAGCGTGTTCAGTTTTGTTAGGAACTGGAGAAGAGCCTGTACTGGCTTAGGCCCCGATAACTGGACATCGAAAGGCTGTCCGTATATTTGACCACTTCTTCGTCCGGCCCAAGCACGAACTCTCATAAGCCTAAGAGCGGCCGTGAAGTTAGAAGATTTTAGAGTTGTAACAATGTCAGTGTCTTCCGAAGGCCCCTCGAATCGCACATCGCCCAGATATCCATGAGGGTGTTGTGCATGAAAATCAGCCACATCTTGAGCAAAATCTTCTTCGGCAAATTGTTCAATAACTGCAGAGCTTGCATTATCTGCCGAGCTTTCGTCAATATTTTCTGCCGCTTGCCCAGCATCGGAACCATCTTGCCTATGCTGCTGTACTTCAACTCCGCTACCTGCTTGCTCTAGCACTAGTGAACTGGGATCATCATCCTCTGATGCAGATTGTACGTCCTCGGCGACCTGAGGCTGGTCAGTCTGAGATGATTTGGCTAGGTTCGAATAACGACCTTGTCTAGGCGCTTTGGCAAGACTGGCTCGGGGAGGTACTCTTTTTGAGCCATTGGTATAACCTGTGTTTTTATAACGTGGGGGGGTCACAGGTACGTCATAAGGGTCAATTGGACTATGGCCTTCAGTTCGATGGTCTCGGATGTCGTTATCTCCTTCGAACTCGACTCTAGACTGGGGACTTTCTTCGTTGTGGATAGATGCGTTGGGCTCGTCTTTGTCCTGGGGTGCTTGTTGAAAGTTCAAATTTTCACGGGTAGTTGGACTATCGGCATGCCCATTATCTAGTAAACCGATTTTGCTCTCTAATTCGTGACCCGTCGTGTGCCCTTTGTTTTCATCCTGTTTCAGCACCGCATTGACGCTGTTAAGTAGCCCAGCTGGTACAATCTCCTCAGACTCCGAACGCTCGCTTCTAGTATGAGAAGTTCTCATTCGGATAGGTCGGGTATCAGAGGACGAGGTAGAAGTCAGGTGTGGGTATGCATTTGCATGCTCGATTTTCCGTCTTTTGGGTTGCGGTAGGTGTATGAACCGGCTTTCATCGAGCTGATTTCGAGTTCGGCGACGGCCAAGTGATGGCAAGCTCACACTGGAGGTAGAGTTACGTGGTAGGCTGTTCGGAATTTCGTCCACATCGTCGTCGGAGCTCTCGACATTCTTGCGGCTGGACTCCTCTTGCATTAGTTGAGCTTGAACTTGAGCCTCGGCTTCAGCATAACTTTGACCTTCAGCTTCGGTATAGATTTGAGCATGAACTCGACCTCCACTCCGAGTTCCCACCATAATTGCGAAGAGATAGGATGACAATCAAGGCATTAGAGCACTAAAGTCGACGCATTGGTTTGGATCATGGATGGTGAGGATCCTTGGAGTTGTGGAGTTTTGCAAAGTAAAAAACTGGTTAAACTTTAGAGATAACTATGCTATATCCAGCTTCAAGACTGTCGGGGAATGTTGAATCGCATCGCCGATGATCCTGGACAACTTGAACATTGAACAGATAACTTAGGTTCATAGTTCTTAAAACGGCACGGGTTAGGTATGTAACTACCCGCTAACCTAGCTAAGGTACCTGTTAATTAGCGTAGGGTTTTGATGTTGTGGTCCGTGCTGAAGCTCTTAGAAGTGACCTTGGTCTGCATAGTTAGTGCTCACTGCTTAGAAGGGTAGGTGGGGGCGGGGTCTTGTCGCAGACATACATTACATGTGTAACATCTATAACTAATATCTACATCATCTACGTACTAGACGTAGTAACCAGCGAATTGAACATTGTACACCAATACATCAATATTTCATCAAATTCATTCTTGTCTTTGAGCTGCTCGCTATATTGCACTTTTTGTTTCCTCTCATTCTAATTAGCATATGCAAGCACAACTGCTGCACATTTACCACCTACCTACCTGCCTATTCAACATCACTGGCAAGACGGCCATCCATTCATAGTACTTACAACTGATTTCTAGATCAAAGGAAGCCTTTCAAGAATGGAGGCTCCTAAGCAAACACAACCAAATGCCGCCAGCTTTCCCGTCCTGGAGATATGGGACCCTTCGAAGAGTCCATGCATGTTTATCAAGCCTGTAAAGCAGATTAATGAAGGGCCCGACGTTGCCAAGTTTCTGACTTCAAAGGCATATCGCGATATTGGAATCTTCGTTATGCAGTTGAACCGCGCCATGTGTCCTCGAAAGATTAAAGATGATGACGGCAAGGACAAGATTCAGACTTTCCAGCTCGGCTCTGAATATGAGACTCAGCCAGTCCTCTCTGTGCGAATACTTCAAACGCTATTAGCTACAATCGAGTCCTACATTGATGAGGCCCCGCCTGATCAAGGCCCGAGACGCTTTGGAAATATCAGTTTCCGGAAATGGTACCAGTTGCTAGAGGATAGGATTAAAGAACTTCTCGAGAAGTTCCTACCTGACTCCGTGCTAAATTTTGGTCCGAGGTACGAAAGGAAGCCGCGTGCTATGGACGAGATCAAGTCATATCTGCTTGGTGGGTTTGGAAGTGCACAGAGACTCGATTACGGAACAGGCCATGAGTTAAGCTTCCTAGCCTTTCTTGGATCCCTATGGAAACTCGGATATTTCAAGGATGGCAAGCCAGGTGGCGACATTGAGCGCAGCATCATACTTGGTGTCTTCGAGCCCTACCTTCGGGTGGTAAGGCGCCTGATCTTGACCTACACATTGGAACCGGCCGGATCCCACGGAGTTTGGGGTCTAGACGATCACTCTTTCCAACCATATATCTACGGATCAGCGCAACTGACTCGTCCCATATCGGACTCGGAGCCCATGCCACTTGAAGGCTCATTGCCTCGAGCACCCAAACCTGCACAAGTTGTCAAGCCCGAATACGTTGAACAGGAGAGGAAGAGAAATATGTACTTTTCGGCTATTGGATTTATCAATGATGTTAAGAAGGGCCCGTTTTGGGAGCACAGTCCTATTCTATTTGATATCTCTGGCATCAAAGACGGCTGGGGTAAGATCAACAAGGTATGATATTCCAATAGATGTATTACCCACCTGCAATCTTCGCTAATATTGTGTCAAGGGAATGATCAAGATGTACAACGCAGAAGTTCTTTCCAAATTTCCAGTAGTACAGCATTTCTACTTTGGGTCATTGTTCTCTTGGGAACAAGATCCAGATGCCACAATACCGCAACAAACGATTCACATGTCAAACCAACCTAATACTAGTACATCGATGCCGCCGCCGCCATCTTCGTCTACGGCTACTGGACCCGGTACCGCTGCTCCATGGGCTCAAGCAACGAGTATGACAGGCCCCTCTGGTCCCGGCATTCCTTACTCCCGGGCTCCCGGACATCCCGTTACACTCCCTTCCCATGCCCGATCCGGTGGAGCCGGCGGCCAAGGTCCGACCACCAGAGCACCTTGGTAAAGCACAATGATAAACAAACGGGGTAAACGGACAATTTGACCTACTATCATCATACGGCACAATAGCGCCGTACTCACAAGGCTCAAAGAAGACAGGTGCTATGATCCACTAGCATGTTAGAGGCAAATGCACACTCAGGCTACTGAAACCTCGCGATGCCCGCTCGAGCACACGTTAAGTGCTTCATCGAAATCGCCAGAGAATAGCGCTAGCCAAGACAATAGTGTAGGACATGTGCACATTCATCCACATATCTAGTCAGCTGCATGTCCAGCAGACACTATACCCCAGGGTCGATGAATGGAATCCGAAGCTCTCCGCGCGTCGGGGCGCGACACGTTGAGAAGGATCGATGGGGGCTCGCCTCTTTTAAGGCCGACGAATAGTACATAGATGGGTACTAGGCTGAAACGAATAGATATCTCTAATGCATATCTATCTATATAGCTACAAAAAAGTCTAAGATAGGTATCTATCTAAACTCCTATTCGTCTCCTGCGCCCCAGTCGTGCATGCTCATCACAGATGCCCTTATCAGTTGCTTCTTATGAGTAGGTAGCTTCCTATCTGCCTGCCTACATATTACACATTTGTTGAGAGAGCATGAAAATTCATACTCAGACAAAGCGACTGGCTAGACTACCAAGGTCCTTAGCTACTTGCTGATATTATATATGTACCTATGTGATTAAGACTACCAGCCAGGTGGTTTGTAGACACGGACCTATTATAAGATACCAATACATATACAACTGGTCTGTGATCTTGTCACTATAAGATGACAGCTTAGCATGCCCACTCCGAAGCTTAACTATATCGATTTTACCACCATTTCTAAATAAGACTTCAACTGCCCAGGAAAACTTTCAACGTTCTATAAAACAAGCATAAACCTCCAAAACTTTATATGCCATCTCAACAACCCCGTGGCAAAAATAGGTAATAGATGTGTATAAATAGACAATAATAGGCGTCATCATCACGTAATCACATTCACCTCAACGCTACCTAAGTAGGGTACGCAGGTAGCATAAACTTAGCAAGCCATGTGTAGGACACGAGATCCAGACCGTTGCCATCGGCACATAAACTACACTACATACTAACAACGGCCCGGTCCGTATGACTAAGGAATCACGTGTAGAAAACTTAGATGCTTGATGCCTTTTCTTTTTTAAGAGAATGATAAAAAAAGGGAGTCGAGGGAGGGAGGCCCCTGCTCTTCTTTTTGACTTTACTTTTTTTTTAGGTCGAGAATAATTGCATTGTTTTGTTTTGGTTTTGGTTTTGGTTTGGTTTTTCTTTTTTCTCGAGGAACCTTATTAAGAAAGGGTATCTTTCAAACGGGCAACTAATTAAAAAAACACACACACACTCAACAGCAACTTCAACTCTGTGGGAATATCCTCCGCGTCGTCGTTTCGTAATCCGACACGCCAACAGCAGCAATAGCAGCAACAGAAACAGCAATAACAGTAAAAACACAAAAGAGCATAATTTCTCAAGCCATGAGGTGACACACCAATTTATTTGCTTGTCCAATCGTTCACATTATATTAGGGGCAGCCTTTGTATCGTCCGCATCGGGGTATTTGAGGGGGCAGGTGAAGGGTCGTTGGTGACAACTTAAGCGGCAGGCTTAGCTTCGGCAGCAGGGGCAGCCTCAGCAGCGGGGGCGGCAGCGGGAGCAGCCGCAGGAGCCTCGGTCTTCGCGGCCTCAGCAGGGGCAGCCTCAGTAGGCGCGGCGGCGACAGCCTCTGTTTGAACATGGTCAGCATGGATTACATCAACAAGTATTTTAAAAGGGGGAAGAAAGATATGCATCAAGTACGACGAAGGTCCACTTGACTCTTGTACGTTTTAGGAAGTGGGAAAAGGGGGCTGGGGTTTAGACTTACGCGCGGGGTCAGTGGGCGCCGCAGCGGGCTCGTCTGCCTTAGGGGCCTCAGCAGCGGCCGGGGCAGCTATTCCAAGAGATTAGTATTGCTTCTCATGTCCAAGGCAGGATTCATAACTTACCACCCTCGGCGGCGGCAGCGGGAGCAGCAGCAGCGGCACCGGCTTCAGCGGGCTTGTCGGCAGCCTTGTCAGTGGCCTTAGCCTTCTTGTCCTTCTTGCTCTTGCTGAAGATCTTCTTGAGCTTGCTCTTCAAGTTGTCAAGAGCATCCTTTGCTGAGCATGAGAGATTGGCATGTTAGCATGTTTACTCATAAGCCGGTCAATCATGGGTAGGTATTGAGGAGAGTTGATAGCTCATCGCATGAACGACTTGATGAGCCAAGGAAGGAAATATTCGCAAATGCCTATTGCTAGAACATGATTTGCTATCCTCATAGCTGCTATGTTGATACCGATGAAGCGTGGGCAGCTCGCGAGTACGTGAACAAATAAAACAGGGGAAATCTCAATACTTACGAACACCAGGCATGATGACGGTTTGAGAAGGTTAAAAAGGTGAAAAAGGTATTAAAATATATTAAAGAAGACTGAAGGCGTTGACAATAGAGTCAATCCAACAAAGTACGAAGGGTAAGTCGGTGATGTGTGACGTTGCTCTGTTGTTGTCGCAGAGAAGGAGAAAAGGCAGGAGGAAGTAAATTTGGGGGGGGAAACCGTCGAGATTAAAATTGGAGAATTCGATTAACCAGTCTTTCCGGTTATGCACCCTTGACAACCACCCCTATGCACCTGTACCCTTTTAGCGCCGGCTGCCACTGTAGGATGCACGAGCCCCAGCTAAAATGGGCCAGCCAAGCAGCTGTCTGTCAGTGTCTCCAGCGCTCTGTAGCTCAGGGGAATTGGGGGGAATTTCTTGCTCATTTTTTTTGTTTTTGTTTTTTAAAAAAGAGCCAAGCAAAAGCCTCTGCATGATACACTTGAACATGGTCACATTATTCCCTCATGATCTGCAAAGACCTGCAGATTCTCACAGGGGCGGATTAGAATATTCATATGTCGTTTTCTATATATGTAGGTTACAGGTGTGCAGCCAGTCAGGTAAGTGAGTAAGTAGCCAAGTAAATCAAGGAGATAGCCCATACTGATAGATAGATACCTACCTAACCTTGGAAGTTGTCAACGTTACATAGTAACGGATGCTAGAAATGTAAACGTCTTTTTGGTGCATGGCTACACTGCATCTGTCTATCTCCGCACCTCAACATCCCACGCTTGTGTGAGCACGTTCCAAGTGTTCCTCCCATGTCAGTACATACAGCTGGAGATGTCTCAGCTATTCCGGTCTACATAGAGTCTAGGCTCTGGGGTAGGTAGTAGATGCTGTAACTAATAGTAGGCAAGTCTCATACTACTATATGTAAGTAAGTATGTACGTCGTAAAATTTTTATCAAGAACAATATCAACTTCATACCACAGAACCGAGCGCTAAGCGAGCTGGCCTATGAGCCGTCGTCTTAAAGTAACAATTGGCGCCGATCTAGCGAGATAAGGGATCCTAAGGCTGTCAGGATCCCTGATTTAACCTCGGGATATTTGGATATTTGGTTATTTGGTTCATTCGAAGTTTAAGGAAATTTTTGAACACAGACAGTCCGATCATGGTACTATGTAGGTATTTATAGATATCGAGGAGTTTCATTCATACATAACGTTACTTTCAATTCATTATCGTGCTACTTATATCAATGCCTCCATGGCTACATATGCAGGTTCATATCTCGACTTTTACAAACCCAGGCAATCCTAACTTTGGCTGGTTAAAGCATTCCAGTAGCTGTCGTTAAGCTGCTACGAAGTACAGACAGTGGTCATGCCGCCGTGAGTAACCTACCTATTCTAGTCTCGCCTAACACGTCATAGGCATAGACGATATCGCAATACAGATTTTTCGAATTACCAATTCACAATGAGTCAAATAGAAGACATCGGACTGAGACGGCCCACAGATTCGAAGTACTACGTAGTATCTTAGATGTATTATACCTACATGTACTTCAAGTTGACCCCTTTTCAACATCCCCAAGGCCAATAGCCAATCAGATTTCATACAAACCCCCGTGGCTCTCCACTGCGCAATCGGATGGCAAACAGTCATCAATAAGCAAAATCTTGAACTTTAACAAAAGCAACATGCGTCAAAGAAACTATTATGATAGTTTGATAGGCTAGGCTTTATGTAGTAGGTAGGGTATCGATAATCTTGCTTTGACTTCGCTTTCCCGTGGCTCGTCGATTTGCATCTGCAACTTATGCCTATAGAACCAATAACTCAAGTTCGCTATTTCCTCTTGAAAATATAAGGTATTGTCTTTCTTTGGAGGGCACCGATACCAACCATAAACTACCCGAGTCGCAAATTTCTAACACCTAATCAATTACCTAGGTATCGTTCCTTCAATTTTCCTCCCTCTCACGCCATGGCTCCCATCATCTATCTCGTGCGTCACGCTCAAGGTTACCACAACCTCAGCCTAGAAAATCAGCAAATACCAGACCCAGACTTGACTCCTTTGGGGGAGTCTCAATGCGATGAGCTTTGCAAAAAGTTTGATGCTCATGATAAGATCACTCACCTCGTTGCGTCACCTATACGACGAACACTGCACACCTGTCTGCGCTCATTTGCGCCGGTTGTTCAGTCTGGAAAGAAGGTAATCGCTCTCCCAGATGCTCAGGAAATCTCCAGATTTCCCAGCGATATTGGCTCGGAGCCTAGCAAGCTGAAAGAGGAATTTGGCGATTCGGTGGATTTCAGTCTTGTTCAGGTGGGCTGGAACGACAAATCAAGCAGAAGCAGAAACTACCCTGTCCCAGCTAAGCTGAAAGCGAGATCACTGGCCGTCAGACTATGGCTTAGGGATCTCGTGAACAAAGCCGGAGAGGACGCCCAGGTTGTGCTTGTCACCCACGGCGGTATTCTCCACTTCTTGACACAGGATTGGGATGGTGCCAGCCCGGAAAGGGGTATGTACTTGCACACTTCCCAACCAAGGGCCAAAACTCGCTAGAACCGGATGACTATTGGTTGCCGGAAGGTATGATTATGATTGCTCATGATTAATAATAGGTACCGGCTGGAACAATACTGAGATACGTTCATACGAATTTCGAGATCCCACGGGTCAAGATCCTGAGGCAAGCCTGAAAGAGACCCAGCCGAGCTGGCGTCGTCGCCGAGGAAGCGCTATTCCTCTTACTGATACGGAGCAGCTGGAAATCAGTGACGTATTTGAGACTATTCTTCACGAAGAGGCTAAAGAATATGATTCTAGGGCCGTTACCGAGTGAATATGAAGGGTTACCGGAACCGACTGGAAGGATTAGTTCTATAAAAGCCCGCCCACCGCTACTTAAACAAGAATTACAAATAGGATAGGGGAAAACCATCCATGTTTGCTACCTGCTAGACTATGTTAGCATCTCGGAGCAGTATTTTACTGTTAAAGCATGAAGAAACACCATGACAACGAACCAAAACGCTACGTACCTATTAAGCAGTCCCCTTCCCCTTTTGCATTTCTATAGAATGGGACTTTTTGAGATTCTTAAACTCGGATGATGAACTTACATCAATGATATCAGTACATGTCTAGAGTACCTTACGTACCCAGGTGGACATCGTCTGGTTAATACATTTGAAGAGCAGGCATACATGCAACTTTTACGTACTCTTCGGTGCAGTAGGTGCTATGTGGCTAGTACCTATGAGATGTTCTCGAGAAATTGATCTTTCCTGGTTTCTTTAGCTTAATGTTGTTGTACTGATGCCAAACCCAGTCAGACTGTCAAATAAACCGAGAATACTGCTGGCGTACCTAGGATACCCTAGGCATGTATCGTGAAACAATCCCTCTTACATGCGCATTCCGATGATAGATACGATAGAGTTGACGAGAACAAGAAGGAAAAGGCTTTACGTCATTCTTCTGACTAACATTGAAGTTAATACATTGATGCCAGTGTCCTACCTGCATGTATCTAGTAGGCGTGATTGACCTACAGTTGTACATGGTATACCTATTTGCTTAATAGTGCACGCGGCAGGTCAAACTTTATCTTACCTCAAGGGTTGTTTATGGATTCCAAGGTTTGTTACATGAAAGCGGCCTTCTTGGATTACTCCTGCCTGGTGTTGAAATGAGATCGACTTCAGGGGCTACGGTGACGACAGTTGGTGAAGATGAAGGCGTCGTCGGTCATATCAAGCAGGCACGAACGCCAAAATAAGAGTCAGGAGGTTCTCTAACAGTGAGCAATTTAATCATAGTTTGTTTCACATATCCATCATAATCGTTATTAGGAAAGAGCGCTGGATGGCGGATGACGGCGTGAGGGGATGGGGAATACATTGGTATTCTCGACCCATCTACCTCACCACCTGATAGTAGATGGCCAACTCCAATAACCAACATTCAACATTTTGTTCTTCATACCAAGAGATAAGTTGGCTTTTTTCTGCTTCTTTCACTCGAGTCTAGTTGCTGGTTCTCCTATCACTCTTTACCACACGCTATTACGCTTCACCACTCTCTGCAACTGACACTCTTCTTGCGCTCTTAACTCATCTTTCCCCCTACAACTTGGACAAGAAATCGCATTGACCATGAAGTTGACTACTTGCTTGGCCTGCTTTGCCTTTCTGGCGGGCACTGCCATTTCAACGTTGAATGACTTCACTGACCTCCATCCGATCCTGGCACCTAGTTACGACACGGCAAAGCTTTCAAACATTGTGCCATCTGCCAATGCTACCCTAAATTATGGCCTTGATGCTACCATGGACCCTCGTAGTAGTGTTACCATTGATCTACTCGCCGACAGACCTGTAGTATTACTTGAAGCCATCGGAGCAGTACTCAAAGTTGCCTGCACCTACAATACGGTGACTGTCTCCTTTAGCAATGCAGTTACTTTTGAACATGCTATCTCGGAGTGGCCTCGTGGAGGTGGCTTCTACCTGATCACCAACCATTTTGAGAATTGTGATGCGTCAAAGGAGAGAGGATTCTACCGGGTCACCAGCCTTAGCTGGGATAAGGAACATGCTAGTGTTACGGCGCAGACAGAGAAGACAGACTTCAAGAGCATAGCGAGTAAGTTCTTGCAATATCGCGGGAGTTTTCTCATGCTGACATTGGTCACAAGCTTCATTGGCCGTTACTTTCTCCCATGTCCAGAGCTCAATGCAGAACAATAGCGGGAACATCACGTTCAACGAGCCCGGAATCAGCGTCGCCTCCAACTTCTCGCTCCCTACAGGCATGGCGATATTCTCAGACGGATCCTCGTTCTCTGCTACGGCCAACGACGGATACCTGAGTGACGCTGCTTTAATCCGTGGTTACTTCAGTTACGATGTTCCAAGTTCTCAACTTCAGAATTGTTGGTTCGACATAGACGCTGAGTTCTTCGGCGACCTAGCCGTCACTTTCAACCTCACCTCGCCTCTCAGCAACAACAATTACATGTTCACCCCTGGAACATTCTTCCCCAGCTCCATTGACGTTCCTAGTGCCTTCAGTCTGAAACCAGTGCTTCGTTGGGCAGTCGGGGCCGATGTGGGAGCTGCTGGTGCAATGTACCACGACAGCAATATCACCATGACAATTCCCGACGGGCATGCACATGTCGATTTCTTGAGTAGCAACCATTCACACGTCGCTGGTTGGTCGCCACGTCTCACCTCTGCTGTCAGCACCGGAGAGGCATCCACAGGCCATACATCGCCATTCGTTGACTTCACCATAGAGTTAAGCCTTGATATCCTGAACGGGGCATTCAATACTACAGGCGGGATTACAGCGAGACCGCAGTTTGTGAATGACCTGAACGTAGCACAGAGCCAGACACGTGTCAGGAAGGCCAACCGTATGATTTGGCCGAGGAATGCGACATGCTCGAATGGGTACGAGATCCGTTCGTCTTTCAACTTCACCGTAGGCGCATATGTAACGGACCAGTGGCAGAAAACGCTGTATAACACGGAAATCCCCATTGAGGATGAGTGTATCTCATTCTGATGCTCTAGCTTGCCCACAAGACAAGTGGATTATGGAGGGGAATATTCATGGCTTTGCAAGATTATTTTGTTTTCAGTTGATAGCAGGAAGTATGGGAATCTAGGAACCTACCTACCCAGATAGTAGCTGGGACCTGCTGGGTAGGTAGGTAGGCACCGAGTATTTTTCTGTTAATGAGGAGGGAAGATGATTATGTAATTACCTAAGACACGCTTTTAAAGGTTAGGTGCACGGACCAATCGAAAAGACCTGGAGCTGAATGGAATGGAGTGGCAACGGAACTAATTACTTCATTATCATCATCTTCAACTTTCGTTTTTCTAATAACCGGATTAAAACTGCTGAAGTAATATCAAAAATCTTCAGATCTTGGGTTGAGTCATCGCCCTAGAGTAGCTGGGTGGGTAGGTAGATAGAAGCTCACAAAAATACATGGATGTCTCACGATAACTTCCTTGTATTCTTTCCTTACGTTCTTTCTTTCTCTTCCCCCAAATAACTATCATCTCCGGGACGCTTTAGCATAAGACCTAAGCTATATTTTACAAAAGTGATTTCCTCATGAGTTCGACACAGAATGTGTCCGACGGGGCCATTGGCGGCCATCAGGCAGTGACCAGAGCTCCTGCTAGTCACGTTGTTCCCAAACCGATTCCCGAATCGCAGATTCAGGATCCACGAAAGTATCAGCTGAATCAATTAAAGAGACGATATTCTCCTAAACAGAACACACTTCGAGACGGAACCACGAATCTCTTATTTCAGCTTAAACCATCAGACCCGGATTTCCCTTTCGAGCTGGATCATTTAGAATGCGAGCTTCAGGTGCCGGCATCATATCCTGGGAGGTCTCCTATTCTTCGGATAAAAAATAAGGAGATACCACGTGGATTTGCTGTTAATATAGAAAGGGGATGGGAGAGGCTTGTTCATGAAAACCAAAGCTCAACTCTGCTAAATTTAATCAACGCTCTGGATAAAAACCTCGAGGCATTCCTTTCTGAACGAAAGACCGAGACTGTAACCTTATTGTCTTTCAAAGATACGAGGCACATAGATAGGTCCGCCACTGTCTTAACCGAGACACAGTCTCCGGTGATACCTACACCGCCAAAGGCATCACTACCATTCAGTAAACCATACATTCCAGAAGAGTCTTTCTCGGAGGAGCAGATTACCTCTGCAAAGACCAAGCGAGCTCAAGAGATCAGACAACTTGAATCTCGGATGTCTCGGTTGCCTTCTTACCAAAAATCGGCAGATGGGGTCGTTTACACGTTACCACTGGAACCGAAGCGACGCTCTGAATTACCTGTAGGGTTGCAACGAATTCAATCCGTCCAATTAATCATTCCATTGCTTTACCCCCTACAACCACTCAAGGTACTGCTGAACGATGTCGAGTCGAAAGATGCGGAAGTGCTGGAAGAGCTTTTCGCAACAAAGGCTGCCCAGCAGAAACAGATGACTCTGACAAGTCACCTGAACTATCTCGCGCAGAATATACACATGTTGGCAAAACAAGCCCACTCGACAGAGAAACAGGCTGAGAAGATACCAAACCGCGCTGGTGCGATAGCTGATGTTACAACGAGTCAAGCAACAACGTCTCGAGTTGCCAACGAAGATGGGAAAAGCCATATTCATGTTATCCCCCGGCCTCCAGAATGGAGTTTTGACGATGAATCCGAAGAGTCGGAAGACTCGGAGGACGATTTCTGGGATTCGGAGGACGACTCGGATGATGGGGGTGTGCCAGTGAACGGGGGAGGGGGTATCTCTGGGGCCGCTCAACAAGCGGAGAGGGGCACCGCGATGTCGTTCCCGTCCATCGAGCTACACGGCATCGAACTGCTGCAGGTATCGATTCTGAACATCAGCGTCAAGTGCGAGCGCTGTCGTACGATCAACGAGATGACCGGGCTCAGACCCGAGATAGAGAAGGCAAGCAGCTGCAAGAAATGCGCGACGGCACTCACGACCAAGTTCCGCCCCGAAATGGTCCACCAGCACTCTGTGCGGGCGGGCTTCATCGACGTCGCCGGCTGCACCGTGTTTGACATGCTCCCCAGCACGCTCGTGCCCACGTGCTCGCGCTGCTCGACCGCCAGCCTGGGCCTCGTCTCCGTCCGCGGCGACACCATCACTAACGTGTGCCGCGACTGCCACGCCAAGTTCACCTTCAAGATTCCGGAAGTGAAATTCCTCACCATCACCCACGACATGCGGTTACCCCCCACCTCGGGGCCCCGCAAAAACCAAGAAAAACTCGGCCTCCACGCCGGCGAACCGCTCCCCGCCCGCGGCGCCTGCGCGCACTACCGCCGCTCGTACCGCTGGTTCCGGTTCTCGTGCTGCGGGAAAGTGCACGCGTGCGACCGGTGCCACGACGAGGATGAGGACGGCGGGAGCCATGCCCAGGAGCGCGCGCACCGCATGATCTGCGGCTGGTGCAGCCGCGAGCAGAACTACGCGCCCGAGGCGTGCGCGTTCTGCGGGAGAAGTGTTATCGGGAAGAGGGGCAGTGGGTTCTGGGAGGGCGGCAAGGGCACGAGGGACAAGGTGAGGATGAGCAGGAAGGATAAGAGGAAGTTTCGGCGTGTGGGGGGTGGGGGGGAGGCGAGGAAGAAGGGATAGGTGGTGGGCGGGAGCTGGGGAAAAGGGGGGTTGTGAGTTGGTGCCGATGACTTAGCTATTCAGGCTATGGTTTAAGGGGGGAACGACTCTAGGAGTCATCATGGCATACTGTACAATCTATTCGCCCGCATTATGCTTGTCCGATGGATAATACATAGGTACCTGGGTATTATTTACTCTCCCTCTCAGCCTTGGCAGCTGGTCATAAGAATTCACACACACAACTACAACAACTAACAACCAACGACCACCAACCAACAAGCCTCAAGCCTCCATACAGATGGCCAACGGCTCCGAGCTGTGTGTGGAGTATATCTAGGTACTTATATCACTGCGTACATAAACTCATGTTGGTATCTGCTCTTGCACAAGGCTATGTCATTCATATTAATGCATCTCGCGTGTCTTTTAGGCGCGTTAGAATTAGGTATACGCGCTTGGCACTACCTACGTAGGCAGGTTCCAGGGCAGGACTATTCCGTCGTTTAGCTAATTACCTACATAGCACGCGGTACTTGGAATAGCTTCAATAAACGACAACGCGTCATCGAGGGTTGTGTACATGAGGCACGTCCATTCTTGCGTGCCTAGGTACATACCTATGTAATATCACGCTGTGCCGTCAGGCATAATGCTCATTGATCAAAGCGTCTCGTCTTCGGCCGAGACGGAGGCGCAGTTGCTTACCTAGGTACAGTAGGCAAAGCGGGCCGTCTCTCACTATGTAACTTTGCCTGCCCCGTGCTTGCTTGCTCGCTTGCCTGCCCTGCTCGCTAGCAGCTAGCAAGTTAGTTACACCATTTACGACGGACGAACATTCCAGGACGTTCCACAGCTGCCCAACGTGTTTCGTCGACCCTGGAAGCGAGGCGGCCAAGAGCTTTCCTCATCAGCATGGGGTGCTTTGGGCGGTGATGGATGGTGGAGTGAGTGAGTGTGTCAGGGGTCGACGGTAATATCCCGAATAATACTTACTTTTATTATTATTATTATTATTTTTGGGCTTTTCAAGAATAAAATAAAAAATATTATAGATAAAATAGTTATTCGATAAAATAATATAAAATAGAAACAGAAATAGAAACGCTTTGATTTTCATAATCTCCCCTATCCCCCGGCATGCCCCCCCCCCCCTCCTCCCCTGAAGCAAGTGAGCACCTGGACATGCAAATCTACACAGCGTATCAAAGCTTGTCTGTCTGTGACAATGTAGTTATTGTATTGTGCATAGCTCCAGCGACCTTACATAGGTACCTACCTACTCCACCCCCCCCCCCCCCCCCCTTCTCCCAAGCCATGGCCCTGGGACCGGTGTCGTCCGGGCCTAACGACCGTTAAAATTGCCTCCCTTGCTTGGTCCCAACCACACTTAACTAAACCCTTGCCCTCCCTTCTCCCTGTCGCTCGTTTATCAATTACCGCTGTGTCTGTTGGGGGTGGAGAGGAGGGAGAGAGAGAGAACACATGATGATGATGATGATGATGATGATGATCGTGGAACGCACTGTCGTCCGGAGTTTCTTCCGCCTGGAAACTTTAGAACACAGGGGGGTGAGGGGGTGAAGAGGTCATACGGAGAAGGGGAAAGGGGAAGGGGGGGTTTTGCTGCTCAGTGCCCTATTATAACGCGGCTGTATAGGTAGTTGGGTATTAGGTCTGTGACGGGGATGGTGTCATGTGCTATGGTAGGTATGGCGCGAGCAGCTTTCAGACGCGTTTCGCTTACCTAGGTAACTACTCCCTTCCCTTGAGCTTGAGCTTCTTACCCGTGTTTTGCTATGTAGTATAGTTAGTTACCTACCGAGGTATGCAGGTTGCTATCGCTCATATGCGATTTGCGCTGCCTTTAGTTTTACGCGTCTATCTGCATACCTACGACGCCGTAGGACAGGCTTGATAGCTACGAGCTGTATGGGTGCGAGATAACTATCAGATATCAGATAGATACCTACCTACCTAAAGCCCTAGACACGCGCATGCATTAACTACATGCCAACTTGTCGAGCACTGATCACGCACCTACCTATGTTATGAGGTAATTAACTGTAGATATTAATAACGAGATACGAAACGGCACAGCAAGATGGTTCTTAGGCCCGCCCTCACCGCGCTCAACCTACAACCTACCCTACCTAACCTAGTAACTAACTACCTAGCAACAGACGCTAAGAGCCCGGGAGCATGGCCCCCCGATGTAAAATATCGGTCCTTTGGCGCGGGTTCCACGCTATCGGTACCGTCGTCGACTCGTCGTGGTCTTGGGATCTTTTTTTTCCTTGGAGGATAACTAGGTATGTATTATGTACATGCCTAGGTAAGATAGGTTTTGGAATTATGGACGTCGTTAGGATGGCACGGATATCGTTGGGTACTGTTATGTTATCTTGGCTTTATCCAGTGCACTCCTATGTGACGTGTCATGAAGATGGAAGCTGGACGAGACTTGCTCTGGCCTCTCTGGGGAAATTAGATGGGCTTTTTTTCGTGGCCCAGAGATATCGTAATCGTACAATACAAATACCTTCTTAGGTAAGTATTCTGGAGTCTGGGTCAGGTAGATGTGGATCGGCCCGACAGTGTGGTAGCTGGCGCGGAAGCGGAGTGAAGCGATCACTGGCGTGGATTGTTTTAGTGCTGTAACTTGCAACCTGCGAGTCTCTCATTCGTATGTAACATCGATCGCTCGAGCGAGCTTATCATGAGGTACAGTACCTGTTATGTAGGTAATATGCCACAACGCTCAAACTTAAGCGGTCAGCAGCGAACGGGCACTCGTGTCATTGATGGTGGTCCACGCACGCAAAAATCGATGTGCTTGGTTCATTGGACTGCAAGCAGCTAAGATAACGTAAACGACACGTCAACTAAGGCAAGGTACTAGTGTAGGTAGGTACACAGCGTGATGTAAGAGAGCAGATTTCCGTCATACATATTACATACAGGTACATCAGCGATTATCTTCTGCTGGCGCCCACTGCAGCGGTAACACCACATGCTACTAAGGCTAGGTACATGCATGCTAAATTGCAAATCCGGGGGATACATGGTGCAGGAACAGCTGGATGGAAACCAATCGGAGCTCACCTATAATCGTAGGTACTACCGTACAGTAAAGAACTCGGACGCGTCTCGGTATATTCTAATGAACGACAGTTATCCTTAGGTACCTAGTTAGTTATGTGTTATCAGAAATTCATTGTACTACTAGTAACTAATACTCGACTCTTCCAGGGGATAGAACAAGCACGGTCTCCCGCCTTCACACCTAGGTTGACCGAGACCATTCTAGGGTTACATGGAAAGACGATTGATTACCTGCCCAGGTGTAGTTATGTACATTGTTCATACATGCCTCAATCGATGTCTAAGGCGGGACGGGAAGAGCCATCAGTCTTACGTGTTGCATTTATCGGGTTTCCAATTTGGGGGATCCCATCCGGGGGTTGCATTTGCAATACCTAGGTCAAAACTGCCCAAACTGCCCAAACTGCTCAAACTTCCCTAATCCGTTAAGGCCATCGCAAATCTACCTTCCTCTTTGAGCGACCGGTGGACACGTTAGGACCTCTCTCACCTACACTAGCAGCAAAGTACAACTGCAGACTCAGTGTAGAGGACCAAAAGAAGCTAAAGAATGCCTCGAGCAGGGGACATTCGAGATTCTCACATGGATACCCGGTCCCTATCCCCAGAGTTATTGCAGATGTTATCGAGGCAAAGTTGTGTTTCATTGCCTCTTTGGAGCCATAGGATTCGAACATGATATTTCTTGCCGTGGTTGACTGCCTTCCAAGGTTGCGACTAACCACTAACACGTTCATACCACATCGAGCTCCTTTGGTTCGACCAGCTTTATAAAATGAACGTTTAACTTATCGTTTGGTTGTGTAGGATGCATATCGACCAGGCAAGCTATATGTTGGTATATGTAGGACTTCCGTAGGCCCGAGAGGCCATCATGTGACGGACCGTTTATGCGGAGTAAGTGCTGTATGATACCACTGTTACATATGATGGTACTTGTATGTAGACAGGAAGCGACGATATGTTCTGAATTGAGCCTTGCAGTTCGTGAGGCATATTGTAATATTGACTGCCCTGTGCAGATTGTTTCAGGATATCCAGCACACGCAGTCGTAGATCTCCCCCACACGACTCGGAATACTTATCAGGGTCTAGATTAGCAGGGCACCGTTATACTGTACGTAAGCACGTAGGTATGCATATTGCCATAATATGCAGATCGTCTATTCAGTCAGTCCAGATGTTAGGTACGGTCCCACGTAGGTGCATAGTAGGTAGCTCAATACCAGACAAGCTTCATCGAGAAAGAAATGAAACAGTCTCCTCAATCATGTGCCCTTCGTTCTGCGTAGTATTGCATTGAGGAGCATGAAGACAATATGTAACTGGATACCTACCATCCTAGGTACCCAGCCTCGCGGTAATGCTTAGGCCTAGGGCGCAAGGACGACGTTGGGTTTAACATGGCCTGGGTCGATAATCGCCAATGTTCCCCGTTGTTTTCCCTTCTTTAAGTTCTCACCGAACGATAGGGACTGAGGACGGGGATTACTGCATCTGGTTCAACGATTGTTAGGTAATTGTAGGTAGGTACCAACTGACACACGCCCACACACACCTTTGTTAACCAAGCCCACGGCCTTGGGTCGACGAATTCCCGATTTTTAATGTGCCATGAACTTGGTGGGAAATCAGGTACGTAGAGGCGGTGTCCTAGACTCCTAGTAGCACAGAGCGTCGCATGATGATGAGACTGCCGGATAGTAATTAAATCGCGATGGAACTATTCGCGCTGCTCGACCCCCCCGGGATGAGATGCAAGGCTTGGGGGAAGCATCCTCATGCAAGGGGGTTCGGGCGGTCATCGTGACGATGACAGGGTTACGGGCGGATTTTTTTGGCTGGGCGCTTTTTGATCAAGCACGACGTCCTTCATGCGAGAAAGTCTGTTTCTGGCATGGCGTCTGAAATCTTTAAGATGGGTTGGCCCACCTTGCTTCGCTATGACGGAAGTTTCACGGCCCTAGGGAGAAACGATCGTGGTGGGACAGTCTAGAAGGAGTGTAAGGAAGGACTCTCTGCCCTGTTCCGCCTGTGTTGCAAACAACGATTTCGGTATTTCGGCCAAATACATACCATGTACAAGACAAGGCCCTAAACTCGTTCGAATTTCCTTCTAGAAGGAGGTTTGGAAGGTCCTTGGAGTTATCATTCCGGAAAATGATTCGGAATAGGTAAAGCGAGTGAGCCAGGAAATTGGTTAAGGTCTGACAAGTGAAGGCGGCCCTGTCGTCGGAAGCACACCCGCCCCCCAGCGGCCCCATCAGGAAGTCTGAGAGCCCGCTGGTACTAATTCTATCGACCCTAGGTCCCTAGTAAGTAGGTACCTACATAGGTACCCAGCTTTCGAAGGAAGAGTAAGTAGGGTTGCGTAAAATGCGCATTATAAAATAAAATGCGCGTATTATTCATAACCCCTGTAAAATGCGTATTATACCGTATTATTCAAAAGTGGGTCACGTGACCACCCTAGCCTAATACATTTAATATATACTTATATGTAAACAAATTTTCAATACTTAAAATAATATGGGAAAAATATTTCGAATTGAATTTTAATATATGGGAAATTTTACCATTTTCCTTATGTAATGAGGCGCTTATTTGATTATGCTCTTCGAGCATATTATAATCAAAGTCTAACGCAATCTTTAAAGCTTAGTTCAGCCGGATCACTTAAACGATATATCGAGATTTGCGCGCCTTAGATAAGTTATTTGTAAAATTAGGTAATATCACCAAATTTTGGTGTAAAATTTACTCCACTTATGTACCGATCCACTTTTCCATTTCGGACCCACTGCATTTTATAATAAAATGCAATATTATATTTGAATAATACGCGAATAATACGTTTGAATAATACATTCCGCAACCCTAAGAGTAAGGATTATGGCATAGGTACTAGACTGGCGCGTGAAACGAGTACCGTACCCATCTAGAATCTGCCTAGCACACTGGCCGCCCAGTTGGGACTTAGTTGCTTGAGTATTATTTTATCGTGATCGTTTGTATTTTATATATTTTATATATTTAATTCAGAGATAATATTCATGAATATTTCAGTGATCTGCATAGCATTGTTAGTGGATATCTTGAAATAATGGATGTAGGTTACCATAACGTAGACCATCAAACTTACCTAGCCTTATGACTGAGTGCAACTTGTACCCCAGTTTCCCCAGACTCTACTATGCGTGCCGAGCCTGGGAAAGAGGTTGTTCGCCACAGAAGCTCACCAGATAGCTTGAGAGAGATTGAGTCGAAATCCTGACACCAGAGTCTACCTAGGTTAGTAGATACCATTAGAGACTTGGGATAGGGCTATCGTTGACAAACAATGTAGGTAGTGTACGTCCTACCTACTACCTAATATGATGTAAGTGTAGTCAGTTCTCCGCACTATTGATTTTTGATTTATGACCGCGGAAGATATCCAACGACCCGTAGGATAGTATTCAAGTACAGTGACAAGGTTCATACTGCCTAGTATACTGCCCTAGGTAGGTATTTAGGTATCCAGCTAAAATATAGTCAATATATTCGAGAATAAAAAAATCAATAAAATATTCAGTCAATAAAAATAATAAAGAATAACTACACACAGACAAGGGAGAACTTACTAGTATGTAGAGGTGGATAGTTAATACTGTACCTTGTCCATTATGTCAAGTGATGAATATCCATGGATGAGTAAAAAAGACCAAGCTAATGCGAACAGCGGTTCGGAAACTCCAATGAATCTTCACCGGGCTCCCAGATCTGGTATTTGAGACGATCACGAGATTTGTTTTACTTCCAAGTTCAGTACCCATAGATGTCCATGATAGATGTTTGATGTTACAATTTTGATAAAAATAAGTAAATGAGTTGCAATATTTAAGATGAGGTGGACCCGCCAATTTGGTCACTGGGCTGACAACAGTGACAAGGTTTGTTTCATCAATGGAAATGGATTTTGATTTTATTTTTATAACGTTATCAATGCTATCAATGTTGCTATCAATTGCATGTGTTTCATAACTTGTAGGCATGCGGTGATTGGTGCAGATAGATTATCCCTGTGTGTTACATAAATGACATCTTATGCAATTGATATGAATTGATATGAATGAATTGATATCATACCCATGATACTGGATAGTACCCCACCCACCTGCCCAAAGGACTGGTAAGACTCCCTATCGGCCCAGGTGGAATGACCTTCTAGATCGGAGCGTTTGACCTTGTCTCCACCTTAAACCCTGCTTAAGCCCTGTAAACACCCACTTAGTTAGATTACCCATACAAATTGTGTGCTGATCATATCTTAAAGTATGAGTATCCTAGGTAATTACATATATTGTATCTATTATTGCTATCGGGCCCTAAAACCTTAAATCTGGAGCCTTCTCGGGCCGTGAAACGCCGGTTATTTGGATTGCACGTGATCACCCTTAAGGCCAACATACAATCGCTTAAAGCCTTAATTATTTAATATCCAACCTAAACGTTTAAAACATATAGCTATAATGATGCAACCGGTATCAATTAAAAGAGAATTTAATTATTAATTAAATTATATAAGTTAAATATGAATGCGATACTTGGTTGCAAAGTTATTTAGATATATATATCGTGAGATATTATGTGACAATTGATCATGTGACATCTTATCATGTGACGCCCTTAGGCGATCGTGTGCAGGCGTGGCTTGACACTGGCTTCAAGGATGATCACGTACGCCCGCCTTCCCAGCTAGCTTATTTACTTGAATAACTTTACAACCAGATATCTCATCAATTCGAGACCGGTATCAATAGATTCATAATTCAATGCGCTTTCATTTGATACCGGTTGCACTTATATAGCTATATATTTAAAGAACGTATTCAAAATAAAAGAATTAATTCAAAAGGTTTAATATACGTAATACAGTGTATATAACCATTCATAATTCATATTTTAAGATATGATCGCCATACAATTTGCTTGGGTAATCTAACTAAGTGGGTTTTTACAGGGTTTAAGATGGAGACAAGGTCAAACGCTCCGATCTAGAAGGTCATTCCACCTGGGCCGCCTATTATGTAGGTACTTAGGAAGTAAAACTTATCAACGAACTATCATACATGGATGTAACCTTATTAATAAACCTCCAACTTATTGCTATTATGAGGTAGGTACGCTAAAGGTTAGGGAGGCACATCCGAGTTAAAACCTAGCAAACTAGATCCATCTACATGTACATACCTCCAGGGCTATGAGCAGTGAGCACCGCTACAGCAACTGCTAGTATGTAAATAAGCACCTAATTTAGCGGCGGCAGTTCCTATGTAAAGGTCATTGGATACTATGTAGCCCTGAAGGGCTTCAAAGTTCAAGGCCTAGAAGCCTTCCGTCATTTAATTTATTTACCTACCTAGGTAGGTACAATAGGTAAGGTACAACATAGCTGACATCATCTCAATTTACAGTATCAGTACTTTCTCTAATGTGTGTGATGAATCTCGATTCAAGCTATCATGCCGCTATCCGACGTCACACAGGAGGACCATGTGGCGTACCTACCTAGGTACTAGGTAGCTAGCAACAATATTTTCTCCACCAGCAGCATGAAATTCAATGTTGAATGTTCCATCATCCACATCAGCCTCACTTATCTAGGGTAGTAATAAACCAAACAAGCCACAACCGGAAGACGACTTACATTATTCAGCCTATCTACTTTCCAAAAGAAGGAATCTGCTCTATAAACCAGCGGACGAGGCTGGTGTCGGCCCTCCTTACCTACCTAGCTTAAGTACCTACATAGTAAGGTAGTCAGTCAAAGCATCATCCATGGCAGACGCTAGCGGCTCGCCGCCCCAGCCCAAGCGGCCGACGACGAAAGAGAAGCTCCTCGAAGAGATCACCACTCGAATCGAGGAATCCAAAAAGCTGCAGCAGGAGTCCGTGGCGCTGCACCAGCAGGCCGAGGAGACCGAGGACCCGGCCGCCGCCGAGGAGATCAAGTTCCGCGCGCGCGAGCTCGACCGCAAGGCCGCGAAGCTGCTCAAGACCGCCAAGCGCCTTGAGGCCGGCTGGATGCAGGGCGGCGCCGCGGGGGCCGGCATCGGCGCGGGAATCGCGGGCGGGCTGGGAGTTACGGTCGGGTCTCTGGTTAGTGGTCTCGTCGCTATCCCGACGACCGGGTTGGGTATCCTGGTGGGCGCTGGCACAGGGCTGGTCCATGGGCCGTGGATTAAGTTTAGCGAGGTGTTTAGTAAGGATGAGGTCGATGAGATTGATAAGGAGGCCGAGGAGGACGCTCGTCAGATTAGCGAGGGGTGACGGGGTTGTGTAAACCTTGTGGGATGGGATGGGGTGGGGTGGGTACCTAAAGAAATGGGAATGAGAAATGGCGTTTCATGTTGAATAATAATGGCATCTGAGCTTGGGATTGGGTAGGCAAGTAGGCATATATGCTGGCAAGGTACTAGGTAGCCTCTGGTTGGTTTATGGAGTCGGGATCAAGTCGGGATACATAACGGATTTGGTGATACTTGTTGGCATACAATAATTGGAAAAGGGGGGTCCTTTCGGTACGGTTTTCTTTAGCCTTTAGCCTAGCATCTAGCGAGACGTTCAATGTTGATTGCTCTGCCTCTGCAAACATGCCAGGTATGTGAGGATGACTTAAGGTGTTCAAAGATCGTTGCAGGATACCTAGTTGCCGTGATGACAAAGCTACTGGATAACATATCATAGGTGAAAACTAGTATTTTCTCGCCGTAGACAAGCGCATGAAAGGGTAATTGGCCATCGTTTTCTCTTTAATCTCGTTCACAGGAAAAATATTGATGTGTAGGTGTTTGTCCAGGTTCAGCAGACCGTACGGTAGCCATGAAAAGCAGTCAAAGGAGCACTGCTATAGAATTCCAAGCTATTCTCACCAGTAAATGAACCGCCCCAGGATTCTACCCACTCACTATTATCACTGTAGCAGTGATGAATCGATTTGAGCTCATCGCTAGTCGCTTCCTAATAGTTCACGCTACTTCATAAACAAAAGACTTGTCTGACTTTCTTTCACTAACATATCATTGTCAGCCCCTTTCAAAGAACACCATCTTCCATGCACTTCCATGTTTCAAAAGCGTTTGGCATATATACCAATACCTAGATGGACCCCAATACAGACAAAAGGGGGCGATGGCGTATATAGTCTCAGGGGATCCCCAGTAACACATTTCGACCAAAGCCAGACGACCAGACGCTGCGCTCTAAACATCACTAGATACCACTTCAAGCTCTCGTTCAAAAACAGACGACAAAAATGGACTATTACTCAAACATAATCCAGGGAGTTCCCGCAGGCATTTTAGGAGTCTTGGGAGTCATGGGTGTATTTAAACTATTCTTCTCCCAAGGGAATTGCCAACGCCCGATTTGTGATGAATTTCCACGTTTTAAGGAACTACCACCGTGGATACGGAGAAAGATCTGGCGCCATTACTTTCTTGATACTCCCAAGACGATGTGTATGTTTCTCGAGAGGTCGTCGTCCTTAAGCGGCGACTATTTCCCCACAACTCAGCAAGAAATGCCCAAAAGAACGATAGTTGGCTCGACCCTCTTTCTCTCCCCGGGCTCCCATAGATTCTGGGACAAGCCGACTTCAGCCATCAGTATCGAGGCGTACCACGTGGCGGCGCAGTTGGGCTGGCGAGCGCCTCGCGAGGTGAGCATCACGGAAGCCTATAACATCTTAAAGCTCCCGGATCCAAGAGAATATCTTCTATCACGCGGCTACAGCCAATCGGAAATTGATGAAGAGATCGTTAGAGAATTCCGTGAGGCACGCAGGAGATAGAGGAGAGGGGCGCGCACAGATGGGTGCATTATATGAGGACGGCGTTGATAACTATCCCCATCGGGGTTGATGAGGACTACTGAGGAAGAAGAGGGAGAGTCACTAGCTACCAGTATCGAAACTCTGGAGCGTGGGTCCAGTCACTGTTCCTTTTCGCGGGGTATTTGCTTCTAAAGATAAAACATCAACACTCACTCACTCACCGGCCTTCATGAAAGGATGTACCCATTACCTACCCAGTGTCAGCACTGGAGAACTCGGAATTGGTATTAGGGGTATCTCTTGGGTACCTAGCTACTGCGGGTTAATTTTAGGATTATTATTTAGGTAAAGTTATAGGCATAGTATATTCATTGTTGTTTAGGCACCCAAAGCCAACTCCTTTGTCTGCGTAAATGTATACTCTACGTGCTTCTATAAGTTAGCTGATCATTATATTTTATCAGGTATAAAAGAACTATCTAGGTACAAAGCTAGGTATATTTCATTTTAATCGTGCCATACCTATTTGGAACGTGAAGACATCGTAATATGCGGTGAAAGTAATACGCCGATTACGAACTGACGATGTCTTGATGGATGACGCAGAACTGACTCAATCCAATAGGGGTCTATAAATCGAATACCACGCTTAGATAATATCGTCAAAGGTAATGGGGGTTGGGAGACTCATTACGGTCGGGGTCGCGGGGCGGGGTTACACGAGGGGAACTCAGGTGGCTGTCAGGGCCAGATCGTCTTCTCCGAGACACGATACTACCTAAGCTACCGAAGGATCTACTAGCTTACCTGATGGTAGATATACGATAGAAAGGCAAGAAAACAGGGCTGAGAGATTGCCGTTTGCCCCTTAGAGGTAGGAGCCTTCTGAGCCTTCTGAGCCTTCTGAGGGTGTGAAGACAGTTGTTCAAGGCTGAGTTGTCAATAATTGTCTCACACCCACCGCGTGACAGCAATTCTACGTATTCTGGAGGGGGTGTGCCAGCAAACTCGCTGAAACACTGATTCACTATCGGGAGTGAGGGTGTGAGGGTGTGCTGACTTAACTTAAGGGCTTACCCCCCCTTACCTACTTACTTCCCTACCTACCTAGTCTACCTAACCTACCTTAGTAGCTACCCACTACCACCTGTCAAACAGGTTCTCCAGATCTGGTGCCCTACCATCTCGATGTCTTATAGTGAGGCTCTAGCGAAGACGCGGGGGAAACGGATCACCAGACCAAACGAAACGGAACAAGCGACCAAACCAGAGGGTCGAAGTTCTAGCCTAGCCTAGCCCACCCGGGGCATATGTCTTGTGCATCACCAAAAACACTAATATAGATTTTTGTGTTCGTGGGACTGCGAAAATTTTCTTCACCGCCGGTTGCCATTGCTGCTCGCTCCATCGCATGTCTACTTAGAATCCCTCGTGGTGTGTCAGTCGCGCCTGAGACAGTTCAAAGCCTACTTACCTACCTTACCATGCTAGGGTATTCACATACGAGCCGCGGATGATGTTTTTGGCTAGGTCGGTCCGGAACTCGAACTTGCGTCCCTCCAAGCACCTGATCGAGGTTATGATGATGTTGTTGAGAGGCCGCGATACCACGACGCTGCTAGATCATAGCCCGAACCCCAGAAAGAGGCCAAGGAGAATTACGTACCTATATCGATGGAAGGGGAAGAGCAGAATATTTATTTTATTTTATCTTATTTTCCAATAGAATAAAATAAGAAGGGGGATTCAGGAAGCTTTCCCACTGTTGCCGACTAAGCATTGAGGTAGCTATCAACCTAGTCCTCCTCCATTCGTCAAACTACGACAACAACACGCCCCCCCTGGAAGCCAACGATCCAACAACGCGACAGTAGCAGTGGCGGAGATATTTCTAGAGGAGAACAGAGACCCAGTGACACTTTAAACTTTTTCTTCTTTCTCACGAATGCCGTGTTCGTTCCTGCGGGAGTAACCCTCCACCCGCTGCCCCCGGCTGTGATCCGTAACTCCCCCCCAGTCGTTGGAGACAAAGCCAAGGTGTAATACTTACTATGTAGGTCAGATACAACCAGAAAGCATGGGAACAGAGAGAGAGAGGGAGAGAGAGGGAGGCTGTGAAAAGAGGCTGGAGAGATAAAAAGAGAGCTCATCTTTAGTTTTCCCACACCCCTCCCTCCATCTCCACCGGGTAAAAGGCGCGCAGTCGAGCTGTTGCCGTTGCTGAATTTACCCGGCGAGTTTAGCCAAGGCCCTGAGAGCCCGTCGGGACGCGCTGGAGAGACAATGACATTAGGTGCAAGGGGAGCTACCTAGCTAGTAGCTATCCTGTAGGACCCTGGAACCGAACGCTTGGGATGTTTGGAACGCTCGCCACCGGGGTGTGTGGTGAGAATTTGGCAACTTACTTACTAGGTACCTTAACTACCACCCGTTGCGTAGGTAGCAGATTTTCCGCCACGGGAGGAAATCTCGGCTGCGGTATGTATACCATGCAAACCCGAGATGGGGCCTGTCAAGTCGCACACCCTGCTACTGGGTACGACACGTAGGCTGAGGGAAAACCTGGGGTTAGCCGCCGGCCCCGAGGAGCGCTGCCTAGGGCAGACAGAAAGGCAAGCTGGCTGGCTGGCTGGCTAGGTCAGGAGTCCCATGTGGGATTTAATTCGATGTTTTGGTTACATCTCCATTGAAAATAGATTGCAGCTACCACACGGCTTGTACTATATGATATTCTAATTCATGTAAACTTTTCCGCCCCCCTAATCCTCCTCCTCCTCGTCTCCATAATTTGAGAATTTTCTGGGGTGCATGAAGTGACTGAAAAAGGGGGGCAAGGCTTGGGAAGAAGTCAAAATAGCTTCAGGGGTTTCCGCTTTAGCTTACTGACAGCACTTGGCAGGTGTCCATGTTGATATTACTCCCTCCCGTGCTATACTTAACATACCTACGCCTGAAAGGTATAAGGCACCACTCAAAATCTCATATTTCTTCACCGCTTCCGAGGCAAAGCCATATAGTGCCCGTCCATTACTAGGAAACGCAGAGTTTTACACCCAAGTCATAATAGATGATCCAATCCTAGCCCCTTGCCTAGGTACCTGACCTACTTAAGTACCTAGTAGGTAGACGGGCATAGATCCCATAGCCTCCAACTGACGCGTCCGAGTACCTAATAGCCAGAATAGTTGTAGTAAGCGTCATCTCCCTTGACGAGGGGTTCGACGTCTTGGGAGCCATTAGTCCTATACCTACTACTAGTATTATAGCGACAACAGTAACGTGCGGAACTCAGGGCCATGGGAAGGCCATGGCTATTCACTAGTCAGCGGGGTATAAGGGACGACGGGACGATATACTGAACTGTCTCCGCTCTCAACAAGCCAGTACAAGCATGTTTGCCTTCCTACTAGGTAGGCATATACCCGTTTCCTGCTTCCTTGAGATCGTAATATCAAAATATAAGTTTCTGCGAACAGATGCAAGAATAAGACATGGTTCTATTCTAGGATATGACATAGTTCCAACGAGCCATGCGTCGCGTATGTGTTGGTGTGCAGTAGGAAGTAGCCGGGGCGGCTGAGACTCAGTGCCTTACCGTTAGACTCAGCTGCGTCGTATTCATCCCTATAGGTAGGTAGCATTTCCTATTCGATACCTACGTACCTAGGTACTGATCTACTTAATCCCCCGATGGGGCTTTTATTTGGCACCCAATTATGTAATTCTATGGCGGGCACTTCTAGACTCTAGTTTACCAGTTCGCCTACTTAGATTAACTTCCAGGCACGTATAAAGTAAGATATGCATGAACCAAGGCGATATACCTCCGCATCTATCTTCACGGGGTAATTTTCTGACCATATAACACGTCGAGGGGTGAAACAAGGCCATTCGCTAGGCACTTTTGCGTCATTACGTGTGTGGCTGAGAAGGGCACTTCTGTGAGAACACTGGCTTATGGCTCTCCCATGCTGAGTTCTTCACATGAAGGGCTAGGATAGAAGGAAGTTGGAAGGAAGTGCCTCATGATAAACGCGGAGTTTAGATCTTGGTCTTGTGACTTGGTGTGCCTCCTTCGTCCTGGAAACCGGTATTTGCACATGCCCCCCTTTATGCTTGAATATAGGACGGAGTAATTAATACAAGATTCGGCTACGATAGCAGTCGGTTCAACACTAAAATTACTCGTGAACTGCACCTAGCGGTCGGATGGTTAGTATCATACATCATCATGCAGTTGGTAGGTAAATACAGAATAAAGGGGCGCCATGTTTCTGTCTCATATGCCATCAAAAGTTCCATCTTGAACCCCCCACACCGGGCTGGAGATTTAGACAATTGACGGACAAGTCAACCGGACTTATCGCCGCTACTCGGTGACTGGGACACGGCGGCGTGCATCCCAGCTGCTTCGAGATGCATCGGAATATGAGCAAGTGCAGGCAATAGTCTAATACCCAGAGCATACCCGATGACCGAAAAGAAAAGAAATTAGACCAGAGAGCGCGCTCCGATGCGGCTTATCCTCTATATGCGATTGACGAGTGCTCTACGATCTGTGGCGCCGACAAGCCCGCACCATTGGCCAGGTTCCGGAGGTCATCTTGGGAAAAGATGTATGGTGAATACTGTCACATTCGACCTTGTTCCTAGCTTAGGCCAACCGTGACCCCTGTATTGAGTGTGCTGTGTTTCACACCCCAGGTTTTCGAGCATCTACAGTAGTAACAGTACAGCAATGGCGGTGATGGATAGTATCCAATGCCCTTCACGAGTTGCTTCCAGTTGCTGACCGACTTTGTGCGGTACAGATTGCGCCCGTGGGGGGTCACTTACTCACTCCTACAGATACCTAGTTGAAGATTATAGGAATCAAATCCACTGAACAGAGATACGCGGCTGACCATCCGGTGCAAGCATCCCTTGAAACTTTCAGGAATGATGGGTTGCCACCCGTGCACTTAGATCTGACAATGTATCTGAAATAACATGATAAGGGACGGCCCGAAGTACTAGGT